CGTCTTTTTTTTTTTTTCTCTCTTTTCTCTCTCTCTCTCTCTCTCTCTCTCTCTCTCTCTCTCTCTCTCTCTCTCTCTCTCTCTCTCTCTCTCTCTCTCTCTCTCTCTCTCTCTCTCTCTCTCTCTCTCTCTCTCTCTCTCTCTCTCTCTCTCTCTCTCTCTCTCTCTCTCTCTCTCTCTCTTTGGTAGTTGTGCTTTTCCTTTGTGTCTTTGCTCTTTATTTCAAACCAATTCATCTCTCTCTCTCTCTCTTTTTTTTTTTTTTTCTTTTCGCCAAACGATTCATTCTCACACACTCTCGCTCCCCCACCGCCTTCCCCTCCCCTTCCCCTCGCATCGGCTTTTCGAACAGCGGGGCAGCACGGAGCTTGATGCCCGTCTTTGGCCGATGGGATTGTGAGTTGTGAGCTGGTGTGTGGTGCGCTTTGATCTCGGACAAGAAGGGTTTCTTATTACCGTGAGACGGGCGCACCATCCTTGGACATGGTTGATGCACAACCCTCTGGGCAGGACAACGCCCGGATCCACGTTGCCCTGCGATATGAGGCTCTGGACACCCTGGCCTTGCACAAGCTAGTGACAGTGCCCGAAGCCGGTGCCATCAGCACGTTTGTGGGCATCACCCGCAACACCTTTCAAGGTTTGTAATAGAACTTGGCTACCTGCATATGGCAGAGGCGCGGCGGCAAAAAAAAAAAGGGCCTTTGCCACAGGACTCGCTGACGGCCTGACGCGTGTGTCCATGAACATGAACATGAACATGATGTCTGCGCTGCTTTAGGCAAGATGGTAGCTCGTCTAGAGTATGAGGCCTACGAGACGATGGCTGTCAAAAAGATGCGCGCCATTGCCGCCACGTGTCTGGAGCGCTGGGATCTGGAGCGCTGTGCCATCGAGCATCGCCTGGGGTCCGTGCCTGGCATTGACGCGAGTGACAGATCGGACTTGCCTCACCGTGCGGTTGCCGCTGTTCCTTGCTTGTTGCTATCATTCATGTCATGTGCACCTCTGCTGATTGGGAACCCGTATTGTAGAGAGGTCCCGGTTTCTGAAGCAAGCGTGGCTATTTACATCTCATCGGCTCATCGACGAGCTGGCCTCGACGCAGTGGCTTTTGCTATTGACGAACTCAAGGCCACCGTTCCCGTGTTCAAGCGCGAAGTCTATGTCGACGGCCAAGCCGAATGGAAGCGCAATTGCAGTGGCTGCGCTCGTCCCCATCCGACTCATTGACCCGACCGAGTTTTACACTCTTGAAGCTTACAGGGCCCTTGGTCCCTGTCCCGACCGAGTGCTGAGCACTCCCCTGTTCCCCCTGACCTGTTTCCTCAAATGGAGGTTTCAATCGAGCCTTTTTATCCAGAAAGCGAGCATCTAAAATCTGACAATCTCCTCCAAACGCGAGACTTTGTGTCTGTGTGTTTTTCCATTTGATGTTTTGCTTTTTGTTTTTTCATCTGATGGGTGTGTTGTTGCATAGGGACACACACACACATACATCTCTCTCTTCTTCTTCTTTTTTTTTCTGGATACAGGGGGTGGGTCGACAGGCTGTGTCACATCAAAGAGATCAGGGGGGGGATCAGGTCGTGTCGTGTCGGGAGGCAGAGGTGCTTGTGCCTGCTGAGATTGGTTTGAGGCGCATCGTTGTGGAGATGGAGACCTGGGATCAATCTGTTTGATGGGACCATCTCCTGCTGCACCCTATCCTCGCGATCGCGGCTTCGGGACGCCAAGCTTTTGCTCAGCAGCAGTACTCATTTTTTTTGGCCCCGCGCACGTTGCCTACTCAGACCTCTTGGCCTTTGTACTTTCCTTCGCGGTTTGACTCAACGAGCCCCGATTGCAAACTCAGCGACAACGATCTCTGCCCCAACCGACCTCAGCAGAACCCAGCACCAGCACCAGCACCATGGCCAACGACCGCCTGCCCCTCAGCGCCTCCAAGCAGGTACGCTTTGTGTCGCAACGCTTTTTTGACCCTGGCTGCTGCAAGCCTTCGCAAGCCTCGCGCCAGAGTGCGACCTCGCTCTCCTCCCACACACTTGCACGCAAAACGATTCCAAAGTCTGTCCATTCTCATGCGCATACGGGACCTTAGCGCATTTTTGAACGCCGGATGACCCGCTCGACAGCCATTGCCGTGGCCATGATTGTCTGTGGCGCCGTTCTTCTGGGCAGTGCCGCAGTACAAGGGGCCGTCACCAAAATGACCAAGGCCCATTCGGTACACATTGGCACCACCGGTGCTCAGCCCTTCACGCTGGTGCGTAGGAAGCGCGCCTTTCACTCAAACTCTGATCCTCCCTCCTCAGTCTAGAACGCCAAATCTCATTCGTTGCCTTTGGTACCTACGAATGAACAGCGTCTCGTGTACTTGTTTATCTTTGCCGGCGCGACCGGGCTCATGTCCATCCTCTCAGGAGCGGGCATGCTGGTTGTGGTCAATTCGGCTGGCTCTCACCTCTCACCAAAGCGCATCAAAGCCGTACGTTCTGCATCGTATCATATTGTTGCCCTATCTCCATCAATTGGAGCACACACACACACTGCGCGTTTACCCACAGTGTCTCAGTCTGACCCCGAGGAGAGGACATTATAGTCACTCTAAACGGGCACGGCCTGACAAATCCCGATGCCATACGACTCACGCAGCGTGGCAATACTTGTCTCGGTAGTTGGTGTGGGGATCCGCCGATCTGCATGCGGGGGCCGTGGTGACCATGTTCATGAGCGTTTTCACAGCCGTGGCGAGCCTCATTGCCATCATCGCTTTCCAAGATTACAGCAAGCATGCGACATTCCAGATCAATCTCACTGAGGTTTGTTGCCTCGTGCCATGCTTTGTTTCCCTTGCCCCGAACAGAAGATATCCGACCAGGGCAGATGCCATCTGTTGCCTGGTTGGGTATATCTGGAAAACCTTGCGAATTTAGCTGGGGATTCGGTGGATGCACGTCCAACCCTGGTCCTCATCTTGTTTTTGTTTTTTTTTCCATGTCGGCGGATGCAGACCTTGGGCTGGATCATCATTGGCGCCACTGCTTTGGTCACAATTGGTGTGGCTAGTGCCGCTGATCTGGACAGCCGTGCCATCATGGGCACTCACTTTACTGGCAAACGCGCCGCATCCATGCGTGTTGCGACCATGTGTCAAATGGGCTTTTCTCTGGCCGTTCTCCTTCTCACCCTACCCCTTCCCTTCACCATGCAAGATGTGGATGCGCTAGCAGTGACGGCCATGGTGGCCTCCTTCCTGGCTGCCTTTCTTGGGTTTTTTGCTTCCATTCGCTCAGCCCGCCACGTCAACTGCAAGACATGGTCATCAGATGTCGACACGCTGCGCTTTGAGCGCGCTTGGGGCCTCTCCGTTGGCTGTCATTGCCTGTGCCTGCTGGCGAGTGGCCTGCACGCTTATTTCTCAGCCCAGATCATTGCTGACTGTCTGCGCGACGACACCGCCCCCGGATACTTTCGCCCGAGCTGCGACGGTGATGTTGGCGTTCTTGCCGGCATCCTGCCCCACCTTGTCAATACCATTGCTGTGTTGGCGCTTGGTGTTACTTCCATCATTGCCTCAGTCCGCATTGCTATTGTGACTGAAATTTTGTTGGATGACGACGAGAACATCCCCGACGCTATTACCCTGCACTCGGTACGGTTACGCCAACCTTGACCCCACTGCTGGTTCCTTTATGTGCGCTGCCTACTTGAATCTCGCCTCGCCCTCACCCACGTTGGCTCGCGCCGATTTCAGGTGCAAGAAACCCTTCACACACCTCGCGATGAGGAGATGGCACGACTTTTGCCTCAATCCCACGCGTGATAGGCTTGCCCCCTCATTGTACCATGTCTGTCTTGATTTGCTTTTTTTTTTTTTTTTTCGTCTTTCATCGTGAGCTTCAAACCAGCCGCTCTCGTATCGCCGTGTGCACTTTGCGCCACAACGTCATTTCCAATTCCATTCTTGGAGCTATCAATCCCAGCCAATGCTGTTCATGTGCAGCGCCGCGAACGCGGGAAGGGACAAACTAAACTTCCTCTTTGTAAATAAACTGACAAACTGATGACATTGTGCGATTCTGTCACCAGTCATGTCATCATGAACTACAGAATTGCACAAGACGCGCACACTTTCGCAAGCAGTCGTGTCGCGGTGACTGCGGACGCGACTTTGGGGTATTGGCTCCTGCCTGCCTTCACTGGGCGCGACTGGACTTGAGATGCCCTGCGTTTGCGCCAGATTGCCAGGGCAGCAAATTCCTCCCACGTCCCGATCTTCCCTTGCTCTTTCTCTGCTCTTGAAGCTGGAGTTGTTTCTCCACCCTTTGAGAGTTCCTGGCTGCTCGTCACCCTTTGAGAGTTCCTGGCTGCTCGGTGTTTCGAGGAAGCGTGATCGAGGCGTCATGGCGGTCGAGGATACGCTACTGGCTTTATCCAGCCTGGTGGCCTTTGCCATGCTCTGGGCTGCGGGCGCCAATGATGTAGCCAATGCCCTTGGCACGAGTGTAGGCTCTAAGGCACTCACGTTTCAACGCGCGATTGTGGTGGGTGCCATTTTTGAGCTCCTGGGCGCCTCGCTCGTGGGCGGTGGCGTGGAGAGCACCATCGAGTCAGACATCATCAGCGTCAATGACTTTGGCTCCCCGCGTCGCTTTGCCATTGGGATGTTTGCCGCCATCGCGGCCACCTTCCTCTGGGTCACAGTTGCCACCATCGCTGCCTTGCCCGTGAGCACGACTCATGCCATCATCGGCTCCGTCATCGGCTTCGCCATTGCCGAGGGCCGAGGGAGGTTTCTTCAGGGCCAGAACATTGGTCTAACTGCTGCCAGCTGGATCGTATCGCCACTCCTTGGTGGCTTGATTGCCTTTGGCATCTACCTCATGCTCAAGCATCTCGTGCTTAAACCCACCTCACGCCTCCGCAGGGCCGAACTGAGCCTGCCGTACCTTTTTGCCCTCAATCTGGCCACAGACGCCGTTTTTGTCGTGGCAGGCGGCCCTGACCTTTTACGCCCCCGCACAGACTCCCCAGAACAAGCTCTGGGCCAGATATATGTGCCCATTTTTGTTGGCACATTTGTAGTAGCGGGTCTAGCTGGTCGCTTCTGGCTTCTCGGTTGGATTCGCCGGCACCGCCACGAGTATGAGACCAACGATTGCCACCCAGATCATGAGATGGGAACTGCCCTAGAAGACCTGCAGCATGATGAGCAAGGAGCAGCAGCGCCAACGACCCACCAAGACTTGGACGCTGACAGTAATGACGAAGAGCTGCTCCTACCGCTCTCGGCACCCGATGGTGGAAGGACGACCATTGCATCGAGGCAACAGCAGCATACTGGCGATGGTGACCTAGAAGTGCTTGGAGCAACCAACTCATATGGTCCCTGTGAGGCATACTTTGCGCCCTTGACGGTGGCTAGTGCGTGTACGGTGGCATTTGCGCACGGCGGCAACGACGTGGCCAACGCCTTGGGCCCGCTCAGTGTAGTTATCAATTTCTGGCGCAATCATCTCGACTCACATTTGAGCCTTCCGTTCTGGGTCAACTTCCTTGGAGGTGTGGCTATCGTAGCTGGTTTGACCACCTATGGACAACGAGTCATGGAGACGGTGGGCAGTGGGATCACCCGTCTAAGTTTCTCAAAAGCCTTTGCAGCGCAGTTTGGCGCGAGCGTAAGCATCCTAACCGCCACGGTGCTTGGACTTCCAATCTCCACAACCGCGGTTTTGGTAGGCTGCATATCTGGCGTGGGTCTTAGCGACGGCCTTGGGCGAGGTGCCATTGACTTGCGCCTTCTTGGTCGCATCATCTTGGCCTGGATTATCACTCTTCCTGTTGCGGGTGCTCTCGCAGCCGCACTGTATGTCTTGGGCAAGACTATATTCGATTGACTGTCTGAGCATTTCTAGTTATAATATGACTATCATTGCCAGCGCGTCTGTGTGTACATGTCAGATGCCCCCACTGAGTGGTGCTGTCCGTTGGTGTAAGTGTGAATATAAAAGTTGACCCGACTCCTTTTCGTACCCAAATGCCTCGACACCTGTAATGATGATCATCGAGGGACGGGTCGTTTACCCAGCACCACCCCCCTTTCAGGTTTGCCATTGAACATATGCCAAAAGCAAATGCCAGAGCACATCAATTTCTTTCGTTGCAGCATGTACTCTAGAGAGACGCGGGCTTGGTGTGCAACCAGCGCTTGTCTTGTGGCCATACCGTAAAAAGTTTATCGTACCAGCGCGTTGCGCTCAAGAAGAATGAGGGCTTGGTTGTCTGTACCTGCTGCAACCATGTTGTGGGCAGCTGCGACACAGTTGATTCCCATTGTGTCCGAGTCCAATAAGCTATGCACGGTGGCACCGTGGGTATCCGTGTCGAGGGCAAAGGATCGGTCCGCTGCATTTGGCATGGCCCAGTGCAAAAGTCCCCCGTCCTGTTGACGTACACAAACATGGCATGTCTCGGGTCAGTTGAGGTATCGGTGCAAGCGACCCGGGTGCAAAACGGTCAGAAATTATGCATGCCGGCCTGATCTCGGGCTGGCAGCTCAGACACACGAGTTGCCTGAAAGGCCGTCATCTCACCTCGCCACCACTGAGGAAGTGATTGCTATACACGGGATGAAAGCTTCCACACCAAACTGTTTGCACGCACGTCCAATTATGAGAGAAGGTTAGCACCGCGTGGCTCAGAAAATAGATTTGACGATTTACTTCTTCCACATGCGACCCACCTTCACCCTCGTGTGCCTCGGCCATGGAGACTGGAAACTGTGTCTGTGGCGATAAACAGAAAAAAAAAAACATAAGGAAATGGTGAACATGAGCCAGTGCCAACACGCAAGAGTGGCTTGATTTTTGCTAGGTTGTGCAGCTCGATTACCCATTAAACCTACGTGGCGCATGTCCCAGGACAACACAAGTCCCGTGGTGGTTCCCGCCACAATGGCTTCGGGGCGATGGGGGTGCTGAGTGATAAAGGTGATGGCATGCAGCTTGGGACCGTTCCTGACAGGCGAGAAATAGGCGAGCGTCAGGTGCACGAGCAGGAAGGACCATGTCTGCCCGATATGTCAAGATGTAACGTACGATTCTGCCATCAGAGTGAGACCTGTAAAACCAGGCGTGCGTGTGTCATAAAGACGCAACATGCCCATGTTGTCCCCGATCAGCGCTTGGTTGCGCTGGTAAAACTGAATGCTCGTGGCACTGCCCAGTGTGGGAAGGGCTGCGACACATCGCAGGTGATGGATGAGCATGAGCATGACAAAAGATGTCAGCGACACAGGCTTGGCGGAACACGAGCCAGATGGGGGCTGTCAACACCAACCATCGCCGTGGCGGGTAACACCACCCGATCCCACGTGTACAATTTCAATCTGGCCACTCTCATAGCAAAGGATAGCTTCTTGCCGGGTTGCATCGTAGTCTGCCGATGTACATTGCAGACGGGGCGGCCTGTGGGTGGAGGGTAAAGCGGCCATGCAGCGGATAAATGAAGGCTGATTATCACTTTGGGACCGCGAAAAAGAAAGATTCATGTCGCTGCCCCCAAAACTATACGCGTGAGTTGCGCGTTTGCCGTCGCGTGCGTACCCAGAGCTGACGGGGCCGTTGGCACGCAACGTTTCCACATGCAGTGTTGGTTGCGCATGTGAGTCGTCCAGAGCCGCACGAGCAAACGCGCCGTTGCGACAAAAGACAATTGCCGAACTCGTGTTGTGAAACTAGTCGGGCACATGATGGCAATACATTGTGAGAGAGGCTAGAAAAGTATCGTACACAGTTCATCCAGGGCATGTGTGCACCAGTGTATGTGGTCTCTACCTTGATGGCGGTGACGGAACCTGGAACGCTCGCGCTGCACCGTGACTGGAGCGTCTGAGTATGAGAGCCAGGATCTTTCACAGCGGCAAAGGCTTGCAGGGACGGTGCCTGTGCAAGACCGAACGGTGGTACATTCGTGCAGATACCCATGTCAGCTGGAACCATTGTGCCGCCACACTGTTGGTTTGCGACTGGTTTGCGGCCGGTGCAAACGGTCAAAGTTCTCACCGCATCATCGTAGCCCACGAGGAGCGAGTGTTGGTGCGTCTGTGTTTCCGGTGTCCACGCCATCGCCGTAGGCGTGGCTCCCACGAAAAGGCTTGCCATGATTCGAGTGTATCTTTTACGAATAGGCCGTTTGTCTAGGCCCCCGATGGACGTGCGCAGCTCGCCACTCCACGACACGAATCAGGTGTTCGATGAAAAAAATGAAAAATTTTGGCCTTCCTCAAGCCGTCCGAATTTTTTGGTAGTTTTTGGTGAATTTGTGGGGTAATTTGTGCAGCCTGACTTGGGCTTGAGGTAATCGCGGCTTTGGCTATGCCTGGCTCATACGAGACGACTGACCAATGCGTGAGGCTGACTACTGTGTCCGATGGTCTTGTGCGAGTGTCCGATGGTCTTGTACGAGCCTTTTCAAACAGTGGGGACCCAACAGCGGTACCCTGTCGGTGAAAAGGCTTGAGGTTGTGTGCTTTTGATGGAGTACAGCAGAGTTCTGTCCAAGTCAAGAAATGTTAGGTCAGTCAATTCACAAAAATGAATAAGAGTGGATGCGGGCTGGTCGCACAACAGAGTACCCGACAGGAGATGGACTAAAACACACACGAATCTGATAACAATATAGCTGTCTTTGACGCTCTTTCTCACGTACGCGGCACGCGCACACAAACACAAACACAAACACAAACACAAACAACAACAGAGGTGTCGAGTCTCCAGCATGTACAAAACGAGGACTTCTGCCCAAGTCAACAAAAGCACGGTGCAGTCAATCAAACGGGTGGCTCGGCTGGGAGGGAATGACAACAAACTACTGGTTGTTGCACTCGGACGGCTGTTCACCATCGTCCACCGCCGAGCCGGCAGTACCGGTGGCACGCACAGCCGGGCCACGATGCACACGCAATGCGGGCCCAAGGGTCGTGGCCGCCGGCTTGGCACGCTTGGTGTCGGCAGGATTGCCATCGCTCATACCGTTTCGTTCCGCCAGGGGCGTGCGCACGGGCGCTCCGATCTCCGGGGTGCTACCACCCTGGCGTTTCTTACGACGCAAGGAACGCCCGCCAGACGGGGGCGTGCGGTGCTCACCACCACCACCACCAGCTTCTGCTAGCTCTCGCACTGTTTCCACGCGACGCGCGGCCATTTGTTGAAGTTGCTGAAGCTTAGAGTGAGTCGCGTCATACTGCTCTTGCAGCGCCTTCATGGCTACTGTCTGCTCCGCCAAGCTGGTCTCTAGTGCACGGACGCGCTCCTCTGCGCGAGTGCACTGTGCGCGCTGTTCCTCCAGCTCAGCGCTGTGGGCGGACAAATCCTCAAGGCTCGTAGCTTGTTCAGTAAGGCAAGATTCTGCTTTGATACGAGCCTCGCGCTCCGTCGCACAGGCAGCACGAAGCTCCTTCAGCTCAGCCTCGGCTTCTTGTGCGCCAGCCTGTCGCTCCGCCAAGGCAGCCTCTACCTCAGCCAAGCGCTCACGCCCAGCCTCCATCTCCACACGCATCTCCAGCATGCGTGCGTGCTCTTGCTTGAGTTCCTGCTTGACACTCGCCAGATGATCCTGAACCTCACTTAGCTCACGAGCGGCCTCAGCAGGCTCAGCCGCGCGCTCCTTAAGCGATCGCTTCAGCTCAGCCACGTTCTCAGCCAAATTGCGGGTGGCGGCCTGCTCAGCTTCCAGCGCCTCCTTGCTAGCTTTCCACTGGCGCTCCACCTGTGCTGACTCTTGTCGCACGCCGTCGAGCGTCATTTGGGTTTCTTGAAGTTCACTCTGGAGGGCCAGCAGATCTTGCTCGAGAGTGGATACGCGGTGGTCACGCGAGCTGAGCTGCTCCTGCAGCTCAGCTTCGCGGGCAGCCGAAGCTTCCCTCAAACGAGTGAGCTCCTGGTTTACGGTGTCGCGAGCACCCTCGAGCTCCACCACAGCATGCTCCAGACGCTCTACCTCGAGGCGCCCATCAGAAGCGACGAGACTGGCCTGCTGCTGTGCCTCCTTCAGATCGACGGCATGACGGCGTTGAAGTTCGCGCATCTCCTCCTCAGCCTGTGCCACATGCGCCTCATGCTCCTCCATTCGTGCGAGCAGGTCGCGCTGCTCCGCCACCAGACGCTCCACTTCAGTTTCCTTGTCTTGGACGACCGAACGCAATTCAAGCAGCTCCCGCCGACCGGCTTCATATTGTGAACGCATTGACTCGACATCGGCTCGAGAACCTTCTGCATCTGCTCGCATCTGCTCGACCGTCTCCTCAAGCTGCTCGTTGTCTTCGTGCACCGCACGCAACTCCTCCTGAAGCTGCAACAGTTCTCGCTCCTTCTCTTCAGCTCCCTTGACTAGACGCGCCTCTTCACGTCGGGCCCGCTCGAGCCCTTCTTTTTGTTCCTGAATTGCCTCCAATTGCGCTTGCAGAGACGTCACTTCAGCTGCACGATGCTCAACTTGAGCCCGCGCCTCAGCAAGAGCACTTGTGACTTCCATCAACTCGCCTTGCTTGCTGGCCAGGCTGCGCGCTGTTTCGTGTTCCTTTTCAACGGCAGCTTGCAGCTCACGGTGCGCAGATGCTTCTCGCTCCTGCACGGCTAGCACTTCAGCTTCCAGACGCGTTGCATCTGCCCGGAAAGCATCAACATCACTCATGGCACGTTCCACAGCGGCTTGCTGATCAGCCTGGGCCATGCGAAGCTCAGAGACGAGCGTGGCCTCACGCTCGGTTGCAGCCCGAGCATTCTCCACATCAGCCTTGGCCTCGGATAGGTCGGCCTTCAGGCTTTCAATCTCAGCTTGAGCAAGGAGGGCTGCTTTTTCCTGGGCCTCACAACGCTCGCGCCATGAAGCTACTTCCAAGTTCACACGCTCGACTTCATTTTGCGCCTGCTCCAGCTCATTTTGAAGAGACTGCATTGCCGCAGTTGCTTCCGCTTGAGCACCTACAAGGTCTTCTGCTGCGCTGGCCGACCGTGCTTCGAGTTCACGCAGAGACTCGGCATGACGTTCTTGCATCTGGCGTTGCTGCACCTCAGCTTCCTCCAATGCAGTTTGCAAAGTCTTCATGCGTTGCTCAGCCTCACTCAAGCAGGTGGCATACTGCTTGGCCTCGGCTTCAGCCTCAGCGTGTTTTTCCTGCACTTGGCTCAGGCGAGCCTCAATCTCTTCGCGTGCCTGGGACGTTTCAGCCTGAGATTCAAGTGCATGAGCCAAACGGGTGGCCATTTCGTCGGCCTCCGCTCGAAGCTCTGCCACATCCGCGCTGCTGGATTGTGCCCATGCTTCAGCTTCTCGTAGGGCTGTACGCATTTCCAGCATGATCTCGCGTTCCTCCAGCAAGGCGCGCTCAGCATCTTCCGCTCGCGATTCGGCCGCCGTCCAGGCGTTGCGGGCTGCGGTGACCGACTCCTGAAGCGAAGCATGTTCACTGCTCGACACGGCAAGGTTCAAATTGGCCTGGCTCTCCATGGCCTCGAGCCATTCGGCACGATCCTGCTCAAGCCGCACGATCGCACGCTTGGCATCGGATAGTTCCAATGCCGCCTGATCCAGTAGCCGTTGGTTGTTGTTGGCAGTGTTGAAATAGCCCTCGCTCTCTTCTCGAACTCGCGCTGTTTCTGCCTCGGCCGCTTCGAGCACCGCTGCGGCTTGCTCCAGGCGCTGCTCAAGCTCAGCGATGCTGGCTTGCAAGTCTGCAGCGTTGCTGGCCTGAGCCTTTTGTAATTCCATGCTCATGGCCTCAACACGATCAACCAGCAAGCTGTTCTCAGCTGCTAGGGCCGATCCCTCGGTACGGGCAGCGTGGGCAGCATCCTGAATTTCCACTAACTCAGCTCGAGTAGCAGCGAGCTCCTGCTGCAGCTCGTCGTGTACTGTACGCAAGGCCAAAAGCTCTGCTTCCTTTTCGGCTGCCTGGTCCGCCAGGCGCTGTACTTCTTCGGTCTGCAGGGTCATGCTTTCGCGCAGGCTGGCGGTTTCGGTTTCCAAAGCGATCAGCTGCTTGGTTGCGAAGTCATCTCGAGCTGTCGCCTCGGCTGTATTTTCTTCTTCAAGCTGAGCAAGTCGTGCTTGACTGGCCTCTAAATCAGCCACCGCGCATGCCAATTTGGTCTGGTAATCCTGCAGCTCTGCCTGGGCAGCTTCTTGTGCAGCCTGGGCTTGTGTCAAAACCGTCTTCACATTGACATGCTCAGCCTTGAGGGCGGCATGCTGTTCCTGGACCTCCTCAAGCTCGTCTTCGGCCTCCACTTGGCTGTTGGCCGCTGACGCAGCCTCACGCTGGGCTGCATGCAAACGCTCCTCCAGCTCAGCCACGGCCCGGGTATGCTTTGCCTCAATTTCCGCAAGCCGGTTCACGTTGGATTCAACACGTTGGCGTGTGGATTCGAGCTCACCGACCAGCGCTTCACAGCGCTCACATGGCAGAGTCTTCGGGGCAGCCAGTTCAGCCTGTAGCGTGGCGAGTTGCTCTTGCAATTTTGCCAAGGTAGCGTCTTTGGCGCTCAAGTCCGTTTGAGCCTCTGCAAACTTTTGTTGCATTGCCTCTGCCAGCTCATTGGCTTCTTCGAGCTGAGCGCCAATGTCGTGGGCTTTGGCCTCAGCCTCTTGGCGGGCGCTTTGTTCCGTAGATAGCTGCTGCTTGATCTGTGTGACAGCTGCAAAAGCAGCTTCCTGGGCCTGTGCGTGCTGCTCCGTGGCTGCGGTGCGCACGCATGCCAGCTGAGCTGTGACGGCTTGTAATTCAGTCTCCAGGCCCTGAAGCGCACTCTGTGACTCTGAGCGCCAAGCATCACAGTCTTGACGCAGACGGAAGGCGGTGGCCTCGAGGTTGGCAGTCTTGCATTGGAGCTCGTTGTTGCGCTTGTTTGCTTCCTCCAGCTGAAGCGCGATTTCAGCCTTTGCAGCTTGGGCATCAGATTCGTCTTGCAGTTTGGTGGCCAGCTGCTGCTGCAGTTCGGCCGTTTCGCCCCGAAGATGCATGATTTCGTCCTCTCGCGTGGCCAGTTGCTCCTGGACGGTCTTGAGGGTTTCTTCAACCCGCACCGCTTCGGCAAGCTGCTCCTCCAGGCTGGCTAATCGCTGCGCATCGACTTGCGCTTGCTCGGCCATCTTGCTCGTGGCTGCTGCTTGCGCCTCGTGCAGAGCAGCACGTAAGTTCTCAATCTCTACCTGGCAACTGCCATTTTCTGCTTGTGCTGTGGCCAGCTGAGTTTGCGCTTCAGTCGTTTTGGTTGACTGGTCATTCAGAGCTTCTTGAGCCACACTCAAGGCAGCTTCTTGTTCAGAAAGTTGCTTCGCGAGATGTTGCTCGGCTTGCCGGTGCTGTTCTGCTTGCTTGGTCATTTCGGTCAGCTGCTGTTGCAACGCCGCCTCGGCGTTTGCCCACTGCGTTTGCTCGTCGAGCAATGCGGCGAGTTGCTCTTGGGTTGATACCTCTCGTGCCACCACGTCTTGATGCTATTGCCCAAACGAACAACATAAGTGAGGAGCTCCAACCACCAGGGTTTTGTGTTTTCCATATTTGGGCAAGAGAAAATGGTCGCACGGTGATGGCGGGAAAAGTGGCTCATACCTTCTGTGCCTGCACCTGGGCAGCTTGCTTGGATTGCTCAAGCTGGGACGTGAGGGTTCCGTGTTCAGCTGTGATGGCAGCTAGCTGTTGCTCCAGTTCATCAACTCGAGTTTGCGCTTGGGTGTGACGAGCGCGAAGCTCCTCCATTGCTGCCACCTGGATGGCTTCAGCAGCGGCAGCCTTTTCAACGGCGGCTTCAAGTTGAGCCAGTTTTGAGTCACGCTCGGCAAGAACTTGTGCATGCGTGTCCTCCTGTGATTGACGTGCTTGGGTGAGCTCCTCAATGACTTGACCAGACTGTTTGTGCTGCTCACGCGCTTGACGTAGATCATCTTTGAGCAGACGATAGGCCTCGTCTCGTGCGGTGACATTTTGGCGGAGGGCCGTGTTCTCTCGTTCTGCCTCAGCAACCTGTTCACGGACCGTCTCCAGCTGGGCTCTAAGTCCTGTCAAATCCGCTTGTAGAGTTGTGCAGAGGCCATCAGCTTCCTGTCGTCGGGCTTGATCAGCAGCACGTGCTTGCTCAATTTCGGCAAGGTGGGTCGTGGTCGAGGCCAGCTTCTCTTCCAAGGACTCCTCTCGTGCACGGAGCTGCTCATTCTGCTCTGCCAGTTGCAGTCGCTCTGCTGTTACGTTGTCCAGGCGCTGGGCCAACTCTTGCTGAGCTTGGGAGCTGTTGACTTGTTGTTGGCGCTCGCGTTGAGCCGAGGCTTCCTTGAGAGCATTGAGATCGGCCAAAGTTTGCTCGTGCGTGGCTTTCAGTGTTTCAAGAGCTTGGCGATGTTGAGCTTGCAAATCGTCCAGCTGCTTCTTGTGTTCTGCGGCTTGAGCGTTGAATTGGCGAGCGGAGGCTTGTTCCATGTTGCTCAGGGCCAAGTTCAGTTCTGCCTCCCGCGCAGTGAGCCGTTCGTTGTCGGCTCGCAGTTGGCGTGTATCACGGTCGTTAAACTTGGCATCTTCTTGCGAGCCCTGCCGCCATTCACGGCGCGACGCGAGCGGCGACGTATGATGTGAGGCTGGGCTCTGATGGTTTACAAGCAGACAGCAAACAACCAAACCAAGAAGCGCACCTGGAGAGTTGATTTTGCTTGTTCAAGCTCCTTTTCAACGACGGCCTTGGCTTGCTCAAGCTGCAGACAGTTTGCTTTAGCTTGCTCAATCTCTCGATTCAGCAGCTCGACCTTTCGTTGATGCTCAAAATCACCTTGGCGAAGGGCATTGGCCAACTAGCAAAGCCCGGATACGGATGGACGCAGAAAGGCATTGTGCGGGGAAAGGGAAATTCGATGAGAAGATTGGGTGACAGCAGACGGCAGTCAAAGGTTCAAAATGCTGGGTGTGCAAGGGTGGTGGTGCGGGAGTCGAGGAAAGTACGATGGACAAAGACTTTGCATACTTTGGTATCAAGTAGGCTGCGGGCGTTGTTGGACTCTTTGAGTTCGCGCTCCAACAGTTGCATGCGGCCTTGCACTTGGGAATATGCTTGATCTTTGGCCTACAATGCCAAAAAGTCAGTTGAGTGGGCAATCAGAGCTGGCTTCACAGCCCTTGCAGGCCGCGCGTCACGTACGCGGATTTCGTCCTGCACACGATCCAACTTCCGGGAAACCTGGTCCAGGTTGCGCTGAAGGTCCTGTACTTCGCGTTCGCGCTGCTGCATCTACACGAGTGCGGACAAGGGCACAGGGGTTGACCATTTGTATCGCGTCAGATGAAACAGATTGCGAATGCCGTCTGGTATCGGCGGTCCAATTGAGCAGAGGTCCCAACGATCGGGAGTGTTTCCGGGCGTGTACCATGGCATGGGATTCCTGAAGCTGATTCTTGCTCTTCTGATGTGCAGAGTTAAGATTTTCTATCTGACAGCTTTTGTTTTGTGCATCGCGCTGTGCTTGTTGCAGGCGTCGCTCGATATCTTCCACCTGAGGGCACGAGTGCATGAGCTGAAACTTTCAGCGCCATGTGAACGAGCCAGGGCTCAGCGACGAACCTGGCGTAGCGCCATAGGTGGGAGCTCGGCCTTCCAAGCCGGCTGTTGCCACGCCATTTCACTGTTGCTGACACCGACACCGGCAGCGGCCTCTGTCGGTGGGTTCCAGGTGAAACTGGGAAGCGGGCGCGCAGAGATCGTCAAGCAAAGCAGTCGACTGAGTCATTCGGCAACCGATTCGTATCAGGGAGGCCGGCCTAGCTTTCGCACAATCATCAGTCAACTCACCAACGTATTAAAGTTTAAAAATGTGAAAATGGGTATCGGTCGGTGGTCAGGTTCCGAGAGGAAGCTCTTCAATCCTCTCTCTCTCTCTCTCTGAAAAATTTTGGCGAATTTTTGATTTGTGCGACCATCTTTTTTGAAAAATCGCGGGAACGCTATTTTTGGCATGATCCTCCCAAAATACGCGATCTAACCGTTTTATCGTCTGTTCCCGCCAAAATCAAGGTCTGTCCATTCACAGTGACACGTACGCTACACTTTGAGAAGCAACCCATCTTCTCTCTCTCTCTCTCTCTCTCTCTCTTTTTTTTTTTTTTTTTGGTGTGTGAGCCGCTCGCTCGCTCTCCTCTGATCCTCTCTCTCGCTCATGCGCTGTCTTCACTTGTTCTCACTAATGATCCTGAAAGTTGGCAGGTCGTCTGGTGACTGGCACTGCGGATCTGGGCACTGGGTGATCCGTATCTGCTCCCGTCACGTCAATAGGATCGAAATCCCAGGTGAGAGCGGCTGGCTGTTGGTCTTCGGGCACATGGGGTGGCTCGACGTCTGTGTCATCAGTGGTCGCTGCGACTTTGGGCTCGGCCATGTGTCCACCTGTTCAGCAAGCTGTGTCCCATTTCCGCTGACTCAAATCAATCTTGATCAGAGCCATCCTTTGGCTCATCCTTCATCTTGACTCTGTCGTAGGTGGTGCAGCCTCTCAATAAAAACAAACTAGTCTGCACCACACGAGACTTTCTTGGCTGCCCCAGCCTTCTGTACTTGTGAATTCTCCGCCGAAAACTAGTCTGCACCACACGAGACCTTCTTGGCTGCCCCAGCCTTCTGTACTTGTGAATTCTCCGCCGAGAACAGAGGGGTGCATCTGTGACAAAGTTGTTGTTTCATTGCTCGGCAAGCAATGCTGGTTCTGGCGTGAGGGCTGGAATAGAGCAACGCCACAGCAAGCGATACGCTTAGGGTCTCGTGCTCAAGGCGGCCAATCAGATCTCAGTGCACCGGGTACCGCCAACATGGCGACCAGTACGGAGCGGCTCGTGCAGGAGCTGTCGGCTGAACGCGAGGCCATGCAAAAGCGCACCTTTACGCGCTGGGCCAATGCTTTCCTGCGCGATTTTGACATGGTGATTGAGGATCTGTATACTGACCTTTCTGATGGTGTCCTTCTTCTCAAGCTCCTCGAGGCCATCTCGGGCACCGAGCTGCCCAAGCCGGCTCGAGGCCGCTTGCGCATTTACAAGCTGGAAAATTGCAACAAGGCCCTAAGCTTCCTCAAGGCCAAAAAAGTCAAACTGGAAAACATTAGCGCAGAGAACATTGTTGATGGTGGCTCTACCCTCATCCTCGGTCTCATGTGGACACTCATCCTTCGCTTTCAAATCGCCGAGATCCAGCTTGAGGGCGACGCCTTGAGTGCTAAAGAGGCTTTGCTATATTGGTGCCAGCGCTGTACCGAGGGATACGAAGGTGTCGACATTCGCAACTTCACGTCATCTTGGAAAGATGGCCTTGGCTTTGCGGCCATTCTGCATCATTTTCGGTATCAAAACCGTGGCCTGGGCTTGTGCACTTGGTCGCTTATGCCTCAGCTCGTGCGCTTCGCCTCGCACCTCTCACATCCACGCGTGTGCTTGTGCTGACTCTTCCGCTTTTGTCGTCTCGAAGGCCCGACTTGATACCCTATGCTACACTCTCCAACGCCAAGCCTGTTAGCAACATGAAGCTAGCCTTTGACGTCGCTGAGAAGGAGCTCAACATTGCTTCGCTCCTCGAGCCCGAGGGTACGTCACACGATTACCCACAATCTTGGTTGTACACAATCATGGCAACATTTCACAGTGGATCAGTCAGAAATTTGGCTTACCACTTGTTTTTCTTCTTCTTCCTTTGTTCGTTCGTTCGTTTTATTTTTTTTTATTTTTTATTTTTTTTCAAACCCCTACGCCCTTCCTACGCTCGCCTTACGCTCGCCTTACGCTCTCCTTAGACGTTGTCCGCTGTAGCGATGAAAAGTCCGTAATGACATACTTGGTGAGTTACTACAACTACTTTTCCAAAATCAAAACGGCCGAGGTCGACATTCGTCGCCTGGCCAAGGTCATGGGGTTTTTAACTGAGATTGAGCAGGATGAGCGGGAATACGAGGTTCGTACTCGCACGCGCCTCATATCTGAAGATGCAGGCGGCCGTTCAGTGCTCACGCGCAGCCAATGATTTTGCGCACAGCGCATGGCCGCACACCTTCTTGAGTGGATTATCAGCACAACTGAGCGGCTGGACGTGCGCAACTTTCCAAACCGTTTGGCTGCGTTGAAGCAGCTACTTCACGACTTTAAGCAGTACCGCACTCACGAGAAACCCCAGTATTTTCGCGAGCGTGGCGAGCTGGAGGCCCACCTTTTTGCCATCCAGACCCGCCGTTTCTCCCAACGAATGCCCATGTACGTGGCTCCCGAGGGTCTACAGATTTCAGATGTCAACGAGGCTTGGGAAGCCCTGGAGGTACGTTACCAGCCCTTCCCGCTTTATGTCTTGCTTCACTTGCCTCGTCCGTACTTGCTGAGGAGAAGCGTAATGCTTTCCCTTCTTCTGTTTGAGGTCCTTCATCTTGCGCACTTGCTTTTTTTGCTTTTTTTTTTTTTTTTTTTTTCGCTCGCAGCACGCCGAGCATACTCGTGAGTTGGACCTTCGACAAGAGCTTATGCGTCAGGAACGCTTAGCCCTACTGGCAAGCAAGTTTGCTAGCAAGGCCACACGACGTGAAGACTGGTTGCAAGATAACAATGTCATTGTGGCCAACCAAGCTTTTCGCTTTGATTTGGCTGCCGTTCGGGCCGATCTCAAGCGACATGAAGCCATTGTCGCCGATGTCACTGCGTATGAAGCGCGCATGACCTCCATTCGCCAAATTGCCGACGCACTGATGCAAGCCGATTATTTTGACAGCGAGACAATTGCCACGCGTGAACGTGCTATCGCCGCAAGCTGGACCCAGCTTTTGGAAGCTCTCACGGCGCGCCGTGACAGATTAGAGCGTGTCCGCCACATATCTCAGGTCTTGGCAGACGCACGTGCTCTGATTGAGCGCCTTGAGGAAATTAATGCCAAACTGGGCACTGATGACGTTGGTCGCCATCTCTCCGAATGCGAGGAGCTTCTCCGCTACTCCACGGTCGCGCAGGATGATCTGGAAGCCTGCGCTGGGGCCGTCGCCGCAGTATCAGACCGCTTGCGTGCCGTCGAACACGAAGCCCCGGTCGAGGTGCGCGATCAGCTGGGCCAGTTGGACAGTGCCCTACAAACCACTCGCGTTCGCGCTGCGAAACGCCGGGCCATGCTCGAGGACGCCATTGCGTTTCACCAGTTTGTTGTGGACAGCGACACTGTGGCCGCCTGGCTGGCCGATGCGCAAAGCGCCGTTGCTCTAACCGATCTGGGTCGAGACTTGACAGCCACCACCGTACTGCAGCGCAAACACCAGAAACTGATAGCTGATATCAAATCTTTTGAGAAGAGCGATTTGCGACCTTTGCAGGCCTCACTAGCTATTATGGAAGAGCGCGGTCATTTCGCGGCCGCAGAAGCCAGCGACAAGTGTCGTGGCATTGTGGAGCGGGTGGAGTCGCTCAAAGCACAAGCCGCCCGGCGCAGGCGTGCCTTGGAATCCATGCTCGCCCAGCATGGCCTTCGTAGCGAGGCAGAACAGTGCCTGGAATGGCTGCGCGATGCAGCTGATGTTGTCGGGATGGCCTTTGGCGAGACATTGCTGGCCGTTGGCCGGGCCAAGAATCGGCTACAAACCCAGCTCGATGGTATCAATGCCTTTCAACTACGCGTCGATGACCTTCAGATGCTGGCCGATGACATGATGGCGGGCGTGGCACCAGGCTCCGGCGAGGGTTCCACCACCGATGATTCAGCGACTTCGACGCAACGTAAAGTCAAGACGATTGCGGGGCACACCACGGACGACGTCAATCAGCTTAGTTTTGCCAAAGGTGACGTCTTGGACCTTGTCGACGATTCACATCCTGAATGGTGGTCGGCTCGAAACGCGGCTGGTCAGCTTGGATACGTTCCAGCTAGCTTTGTCAAGCTTGTCCGTGAGACGCCCAGACCTGCGGCCACGGGCATGTCGGAGGCCGACCGCACACAAGTCAAAAACATTGTCAACGGGGTTCGCTCTGAGTATGAGCAGACTCGCATCACGTGTGAGGCACGTCTGCGCGAAGCATCGGCTCTCTACAGCGATCTTCTGCACGAGGCCGAGATGAAAGAGGTTGAAGACTGGCTGGCCCAGCGTGTGCAGATGATTCAGACTTATGCCGACTCTCAGCAGGATCGTGACCGCTTGGCAGCATCCCGAGACAAAATCATTCACACGGTCGAGGACTTGACACAGCATCTGCAGCGCTTGCAAGCTCAACAGCCTGGACAGCGCACGGCTCTGGTCGAGCGCCACCGCGCACTTTGTGAGCTGCTGGCTTCGACCATGGCTGAGGCCGAGGAGCAACGCGCTGATGTCGAGCAGCAGCTTGAGCTCCAGGGTCTCCTCGATCGCATGAGCGATGCTATGCTCTGGGTTCAGGAGAAGCAGCTTGAGGCTCAGTCGACTGACGATGGTCACGATGTCGAGCATAACATTGCTCTCATTCGAAAACACGAGCAACTGGCTGCCGACGTCGAGGCGATTGGTCACCAAGTCTCGCAGCTTCAAACGGAGACAGCACAAGAAGTACAAATGCATCCAACGCAGTCTCGGGCCTTGAAAGCCAGTCTATCTCGCCTCTTGGATGCGATGGCAGTCCTTCGGACGGCAGTGGAGGCCCGTCATCAGTTGCTCCATGCGACTCGCGCGCGCCTTGTGGCGCTGCGCGATGAAAACAATCTAATGGCCCAACTGCGGGATAAATTACTTGTGACGGAGCAGTTGCGTCAAGAGAGCGCGACCGATGCCGAGAACACTGTCACCCACGCCCTTGAAGATGCCGTGCGTGAAGTTGAAGGTCTGTCAGATCCTGTGGACGAGCTACAGCAGCGTTTGAGTCAATGTGGGGCCACAGAGGCCGCCGCCGAACTTGGTGCCTGTTATGGGCAGCTTCAAGAGGCTACTCGCGTGGCCTTGCAAACCGCCCAGCAGCACGACCGTGCTCGTGCCGTGCGGGTGGAGCTCGACGACATTGTCGCCTGGGCTGGGCAGCATCTCCGCTCCGTTGCTGCTCACGATCCAGTCGCCACGGCCCAGGCGGCTCAGGACCGATTACGGCAGCTTGAGCAAATCGAGACCCGCCTTGACTCCAATGACAGCAAACTCGCGGAATGTGCGGGCGTGGTTGCTGGCCTGCACCTCATAGGTGAAGGCACGGCTGCCCACAAGAGTCTCCTTGAGGCTGAGAAACATACCACACAGCTGCAAGCTTTAACTGCCGAACGACGCTCAGAGACGGCGCGTGCATTGGCTGTTCTCCAGCTGCAGGAGGAGGCCGGTGATGTTCTTAGTTGGATCAAGGACAACCTAATGGTGGCGTCCGATGGTGCGGCGGCGGCGGAGGGCCCAGGGGGCAATCTCCTCTCACGACGTGACCAGCATCTGGTCTTCGCAGAACAAGTGGATCTTGGAGCAGACAATGTGGCCAGTTGGCTTGAGCGTGCGGCCGCCCTGGATCCCAAGGATGAAATTGTAACACGGCTCGAAGCAGAGGTTGGGCAAGCTTGGACTGAGTTGGCCGAGCAGACAGCTGAGCGTGGCCAGCGACTTGAGGAAGCCGTTGACCAGATTGAATTTGGTGAGCTGGCATTGGATATTCGGGCCTGGACAGGCCAGGCGCGCGATCTTTTGAATACAATCGATGGTGAAGATGGAACTTCGCAGGGCTGGCGTACTGCGCTGCGCAAGTTGGAAATCCTGGAAGGCGAGGCCGAGACGCAAGTGGACAAGTGCACTCAGCTTTGCGGTTTGGCAGACAAATTTGCAGCGCAGGGGCACTTCCGAGGCTCGGCCTTGACGGCGCAAGCTCGTGAACTGCAATCCACTGTCCAGGAACTGGCGCGTGCCGTGCAAGAAAAGCACAGCACTGCTCAGCGGCGCCTTGAAGTGGCTTTGTTTGGCGATGATGTAGTGCAGATTGCCGCCGCAGTGCAGCCACTGGCACGCCCAACGACGCCGGCTGCGATGCCTCAACATCTCACCGAGGCTCGCAAACTGCAGCGGCTTCATGTTGGCATTGAAGCCAAGCTAGCCGACCTCTCCGTTCGCTTCGGTAGTCTGCAGGAGCGCCACCAGCGCCTGCTTCCCGAAGCAGAGGTTCAGGCCGAGGCGTTGGTGCAGGTGGAGCGAGACTTGGCGTTGGCCCAGGAGACTGCTTCTGCGCGTCGTGGTGCGCTAGCTCGAGCCTTTGATGAGTTTACCGCTTTGGAAAGCGGCGAGTACTTGTTGGGCTTGATTCGGGAGAAGATTGACACGGTCGCTTGGTCGTCTGTTGGCGCATCAGTACTAGAGGGAGCGCGTCTCCTCGCACAACACCAAAATCTTTCCTTAGAAGTCGCGGCTCTTGAACAACAACTCGCAGACTTTCAACGTGCTGTGGCCGGTTTCCAGGCTGGTCCCGCGGCAACATTGCAGCAGGAGCTGAACGTGGGCTTGCGCGACTTGAAGAATCGCTGTGGCGAGCGAACTCAACTCTTGGAAGCAGCGCATTTTGAGGCCGAGCTTCAGGAGCTCGAGGCCGAGTTTGAGCGCTGGATCGTGGAGCAACTTGAGCTTTGTGGACCTTCAGCTGCCCAGCCAAGTGAAAGCCCCTCGGAATGTCAACGTCTGGTCGAACGCCACGCCCAGGTTCAGAGCGAGGCAGCTGTGGTTGAGCGGACCTTGCTTGATCAACTGCGGAGCAAAGGCTCTGTCGCGACGAACGTGCCCCCAGATCAGCAAGCCGTTCGGGCTCAGCTTGTCAAGGCGGCGCAAAACCGAGTTAACGACCGCTTGGAGATTTTGCATGAGGCTCAAACGCAGCGTGCAGTCATGCTACAGATGGGCTTGCGCACCGCAGAGCACGCCGACGCGGTTCTTGAGCTAATAGCAGAAGTATCGCAGTTGGATGACCAGTTCGAGCAAGTGCAACGTGAATGTAGTCAGGGCTATAGTGATGCCTTGGCCCAGCGCTTGGATACACTCGAGCGGCATATGGCTCGCATACAGCCGCGTAAGGAGGACGTGGAGGTGCAGCGCGCCGAGTTGTCACAATCTATGGCGGTAGCGGATTCCACTTTGGCTGCCACAACCAAGAGCGATGCGTTTGTAGGGCCCTTGCATGAGCGAATGCTGGCAAGCTGGGCGCAACTCCTCGAGGCAGCAACACTGGCGGCGGACATGGTCAGTCGCACGCACATTCGCGATCAACTGTACCAAAGCTATGCCGACTTGCACGCCTGGCTAGTGGAGTTTCGGGAAAAGGTTGAACAGACTGTTGTTCCGACCTCACTGGGGGCTTTGGCCGCGGTCGAGGATGACCTCGTGGCTCAGCGTGCCAACTACACTGTCAAAGCCGAAGAGCTCCAGCAGCTGGAGCCCGGCGTGGCTGAGTATTGCACCCTCTATCCGGATGATGAGGATATGGCAGCCGAGCAGATGCGCGTACAGGAGGAGTTTGCTCAGGCACTGACTGCATATGAACAGAGGGTAGCTGACTGCGCCGCACAGGGGGAGAGCCTCAAGCTTAGCCAGCGGGCTGAGGGTACACTAGCAAAAATGCGGCGTCTGGTGCTAGAGTTGCAACAGATTTCGCGAGCCGATGCCTTTCAAGAACTTGAGCATCAGCGCGAGCAAGTGGAGGCCTGCGCAGGCTCTGCGGCCGTGCTCTTGCCCGCAGCCCGTGAGCTGGTCAGCGCTTGTCAAGGGGTACTGCCTGCGCTTGCACAAAATCTCGAGGACACCGCACCAATAGTCGAGGAGCTGTTGGGGGAAAAGCGGTCCGAAGTGGAGGCTACGCGCGTCTACTTGGCTTTCAAGGGGAAGGGGGACGACCTGGCGCTGTGGCTGCGGAATGCCCAAGAGCGCGTCCGAGCCGCGGCGGCAGCACGCACTAGTGCCAAAGCTCTTGCAGCCGAGGCCCCCACACATCGCACCCTCGAAAGTGATGTCATTGCACGCGGCGAAGACGTGGAGGCTTTGCAGAGCCAATGCGATGCACTCATCGAAGAAGAGCACTTTGCCAGCGAAGAGCTGAGTTCGCTGGGTGCAGCGCTGCTCGAGTTGTGGGAGCAGGTCCTTGCAGAAATGGACGCGCGCTCCGAGCTGATTCAGAGCGCCGTAGTGGTTTGCAGCCTGCTCCACGAGTTACAGGAATATGGTGCACAAGTTGACCAGCGCAGTCAGGACATGGATGAGCTCAAGCCTCGTCAGCGGTTGAATGAAACTGTCCGCGTGCACAAGAAGTTTCTTGATTGGAAGCTGAGCCTAGACGCTGATCAGACGCGCCTGACGGCCCTGGAGCAACGCGTTTCGCAGGCCAAGGCAGACGCGCGAGCACCTGAACACGCCAAGGCCTTGAGTCAGGAGGTTGAGGCCGTCAAAACCAAATGGACCCGCTTTTGCAGCGAGTTGCGGGCTTTTGAGGCCCGTTTCGAGCGAGCCCTGGAGCTACAACGCTTTCTACAAGCTTGCTACGATTTAGCTCGATGGCTTGATGGAAAGAGCACAGAGCCGTTTGAGCTCTCTTCCACACTCCGCCAGGAAGATGTGCGGAAGCTGCTGAAGCAGCATGAGACGCTGGCACGTGACTTTGATGGCATGGAGCCCCAGCATGGTTCATTGGGCAAAGAAGCTCGCCGGCTTGCACGCCTCTACGCGGAAGATGCACGTGATGTCGGAGCTGAACATGCCAAGGTCGATGAGCGTTGGACCACGGCTCGCGCAAGATTGCAGCGGGCTTTGGCCGATCTGCAAGTGGCAGCTGAGGTCACGCGCCTGCAAGACCAGTTGGATGTTTTACGTAGCTGGTTTGAGGATCGCACACGGGCAGTAAGCGGGCCACTTCCGACCTCGTCCGATTTGGCTGCAGTTGAGATTTTGTCCAAAGCTACCAAGCAGATGCGGGTGGAAGTTGAAGGTCGTGCCACAAGCGTACAGAGCTTACAGCAGCAGGTCGCACGAATTCGCACACGCGCAGCTGCGGCAGGTGATCGCCTGCAAGGTCAGCTTGAAGAGCTGCTGAATGTACAGCGCAGCGCAGTCAGTGCCATATCTGCCCGGCAAGAGGCATTGCGGCACCTGACCGACTATCTCGTCTTTCAGCGTGATGTGCAGGGTGTGCGGGATGAGCTGGCGGCGCTGCGCAGCCGACTGACCGAGTTTGCTATTACCGACGACGCAGCAGCAGCGGCAACAACACTCAAAGGCTACGAGGAGCAACGTAAGCAGGGCGATGCACTATATGGCAAAGCTCAAGCGATTGAGGACTTTGGGACTCGTCTCATCGGCGATGGCCACGAGCGTCGCGCTGGCATTGAGGCCTCGATGACCGAATTGCATGCAGATGTCGAGCAGTTACAGCAGGTGTCTGGACAGCAGCTGGAGAGCTTGCGGAATGACTACTCAATCCTGTTGCTGCAGCGGGACCTCACCGAATTCCAGGGCATGCTTCGGTTGCGAGAACAGGCTTTAGCTGAGATGGAGGACAGCATGGTTGTGTTGCGCGATGGGCAAAAACACGAGACCTTCATGTCCGAGCTCATGGCCAGTGAAAGCGTTTTGACCGCGCTGTACGAGCGACTTGAGTCGCTCAACGCCTGTGCACGGCTAGATGCGGCACGTTCACAGGCATCCACGGTGCGCACCGAATGGACGGCGCTGCAGACACGTGCCTTGGCCACGGGAGACCGCCTTCAAGACATGATCGAATTTCGTCGCTTGGAGCGCCGGGCAACCGAGTTGCTACAGTGGTGCGAACGGGCCACGACGCAACTCTTATCCACAGATGTGGGGGCTGATGCCAAGAGCACCATTAAGCTTCAGAAGAAACAGGAAGACTTTTTGGGTCGCTTGGTAGCGCATCACGAACGTGTACAAGCCTTGGAAGCTGCCGCTGCTGGCGCTTGTCAGCGGACGAATGATTATCGCGGCAAGCTAACAGCTTTGATGCAACAGGTCACGGACAGCGCAGCCCCTTTGCAAGATTTGGCAGAACAGCGGGCCGTGCGTTTGAATTATGCTGAAGACTACCACACTTGGGCTGACGAGGTGGAAGCCGAGCTGAAGAACCTGGCGAGCAAGGAAGCCGTCTTGGCACAAGCCTTGGCCGTACCTGATCTTTTATCAGTACAAGAGATGCAAGGTCGCGTCAAGGCAGTTCAAGAGGGGCTGGAGCAAGGCAACATCGTGCACGAGGAGCGCGTGGCGCGGGGAACCACCTTTGCTAATCTTGAGTTTGGACTCGAAAATGAGGCAAGTGATCGCTTAAGCCGGAGCAAAGGTGCGTGGGCGACTTGCGAGGCCCACTTGGTTGAGGCCCGTCGTGCACTTGAGGCGCAGGGCGCCCTCTATGAGTACGAGGCACGGGCCGAAGAATGCCTCATCTGGATTGCAGACAAGAGCAAGGAAGTGGATGCAGGAGCAGCTTCTGAGGACGCCGATAATGTGGCCACGCTGCTTGAGCAGCAGCGCGAGGTCAATGCGGATGTTCAAGGATACAGCAGCGTGGTGGAGCAACTCCGCACGGGTCTGGCAGCCATGGCTGAACTTTCAAGCGAAGGTCAGGAAGCCTGTACATGTCGGTTAGCGGAAGTGGAGGAGGCTTGGTCTGCGCTGCAGTCTGCTTGCCAAGCACAGGTCATCAATCTGGAGCGGCTCCTGGCATTTCAGCGTTTTGCCGCGCAGTGTCGTCGCGTGGTGCAAAGCCTGCAGCGGACACTAACGACGTTAGAGAGCGGCATCGCACTCGGCGAAGACACGGCGGGGGTGCGGTTGGCGTTGGAGCGCCTGAATAAACTGCAGGAAGAGGTGCGGCGGACCGACGGTCAGCAGAGTAAACTGGCAGCTACGCAGGCAGAGCTCATGGCTGCCGACCTTGCTCGAGCGGATGCCATTGGCCAAGCATGGCAAGAGGTGGAGGAAGCTAGCACAGCAACGCGCACAAAGCTGACAGCCGAGCGTCAGCGGGCTGAGCAGTGGCAGCGAGTGTGCGCCTGGACCAACGACGCGCGGCGACTGGTGGAATGGGCTGACAGTCGTCGGCGCTTGGTAGATGTTGAGCTGGATCTCGACAGTGGCGACATGCGTGAATTTGTGCGCTTCGGAAAAACGTGCAAGCGCGTGCAACAAGACGCACGCGCAATCGAATCACAGGTGCAGGAGACGGTTTCCGCAGCGCCCCTTGACCCTTCTGACTTGGCAGAGCCTGAGTGGGCAGAGCCCGTGGAGCACTTGCGCAATACTCTGAGATCAGCGCATGATCAGCTATGTCAGCGCTTAGTTGAGCAGCAAGCAAATGTCGAACATGCCAAGCGGTATCAACGATGGCTGGATTTGGGTCGACGCCTTCGCGAATGGCTGCGAACTGTGGATCAAACGGTGCAGGAGGAGCCTGTTGAGCGCGATATCAGTGGACTAGAGTTACAAGAGGCAAAATTACGTGACCTCGTTGCAGCCATGGCCAACAAGCGGGAGGAGCTTGCTGCGTTGCAAGCCGAGGCCGCGGCCCTGTGCGAGGTGGCCCCGAACTTGCTTGAGCAAGTGGAACATCATGAGCGCTCCTTGCAGGAAGCCTTTGGTGATGCAGATTCGGAGTTGAGCAAACGCCATCGTCAGGTCGACGAGGCTCTAGACGAAACCCGCCTGTTGCAAAAAATGACGGAAAACCAGCTCTTAATGGAGCGCCAGCAGGCGCAATTCAATGCCAGTCTCGACTTTGATAATTTGGACGATTTGGATGCCATCTTGGAGCAGCAAGAGGCCTTTGAGCGTTGGCTTGCTGCTCAAAAACAGCGCATTGCTGACACTACCCGTCCGACTAAGGTAGAAGTTGCTGTCGACAGAAGGGAACGGGTATTGCGGTCAGAGGGAGATATATTTTTAACTGTGTTTCGTATATGTGAGGTGTTGAAGTTTGGAGCTCATTGTCTGATGCTGTTGCTATAGGCCGAAGCACGTGAAGAGCAAGCGGCACAGGAGGCGAAGGCGGCGCAGGAGGCCAAGGCGGCACAGGAGGCGAAGGCGGCGCAGGAGGCCAAGGCGGCACAGGAGGCGAAGGCGGCGCAGGAGGCCAAGGCGGCGCAGGAGGCCAAGGCGGCGCAGGAGGCCAAGGCGGCACAGGAGGCCAAGGCGGCACAGGAGGCCAAGGCAGCACAGGAGGCCAAGGCAGCACAGGAGGCCAAGGCAGCACAGGAGGCCGAGGCGGCACAAGAGGCCGAGGCGGCACAGGCGGCACAGGAGGCCAACGTGGCAGATCTACAGGAACACGTGCAAGTGGCACAAGCGGCGAAAGACGAATCACGTGTCCCCGCTACTCCTCCGTCTTCGAGCTTTGCTGATAGTTCAGCTGCCACATCACTTTCAGCGGGAGCTGACGCTGCTGTCGCTGATGCAGCGACGCGTGATGGACCCGCTGCCAGTGCCAGTCTTAACAAACACAATGCTCAGACCAGCGCGTCCCAAGCACCATCAAATGCAACAGCAGCAGTTACAACACGCTCAGCCTCAAGTCACTTTGAGGGCCAACTAACTCGCAAAGTGGAATTCGATGTCGGAGGAAAGCGACCCACGTTTCGCACTTGGAAAACGGTGGCGATTGAGGTGGCCAGTGGCCACATTCGTTGCACGGTATGTATGAAGCGCTTTGATTTGTTGGAAGTCCGCCTCAGCATCGGGTCTGGTCTGCAAGCGCCAGGCACTGGTTGCCTGCCCGAGCTTGGTTCTGTGAGATGCGTTTGAATGAGTTGCATTTTTGGCTCATGGGGTGGACCTTGTGCATGCAACAGGGGTTGCGTTTGTCATTGGAGGGTGCAGTGTGCCAGGAGGCTGTGGACTATGGCAAGCGCGAGTTTGTATTTAAGCTGACGCTTCAAAACGGGGCCCAGGTGAGCGGGTCATGAGTAGGGTTGCAGAATGATACTTCATATCGTTGAGTTAGGCTGCAGACTGACACCCCTTTTTGTCTTTGTTTGATTGACCGTAGTGGCTGCTTCAAGCGGCCGATGCAACCGAGATGCGTGCGTGGATTGTTGCGATTAATGAAAACATTCCAGGCATGACACAGCTTAAGAACAGCTATTGAAGAACACAAATAAGATGACACAGCTTGTTCGAACCGCCAGCTTCATATTCTGTTCTTGACAAGTTTTTGTATTTATTCACACATGTAAACGCAGAAAGGCACAATTTGATGCAGCGCGTTTCGGGCCGGCAAAGTAATTGAGAATAACCGATATTAACAAACGAGCCTGGTGCAGGATGCGGCATTCAGGCCATTTGGCATGTGCACGCCAAAGTTAGTTAGAAAAAAAAAAAAAAGCCATCTGGCAGCAGCAGGCGCCTTGACTCAGAAAAAAATTCTTCGGCAAAAAAAAAAAAAAAAAAAAAAAAACCAGATGAATAATCGATTGATCGCTTGAGACAATTACATTGATCCCACGCCAACAAAAAGGTGGCTGGAAGCCTACAAGCTCTTGAGCATTGCGGCAAGGTCCTCCTCGGACAAGTCTGTTTGAGTCACAAAGTCCGATTCCTGGCAAACGACAGAGAATGGAACGGTGATTAATCACTAAAACGAGTGAGCGCGCACTGGCCAAAAGAATTTGTTAGATGAGCGTTTCACAAACCGCGTGTGTGGCAGGGGCCGACGCTTGTTCATGTTCAAAACGCAGGCCTGGGGCAACTGCCGTGTTGTCGGGTTCGAGCTCAGACTCATCCACCAAGCAGATGCCAAAAGTCTCGGTGTGAACCACTGGCTCTTCTTCTTTGGGTGCCTCAATCTCGGGCTCTTCGGCTCGGCGGGCCTGCTCCTCAATACCATTGGTAAGCAACCGCAAGACTGGGGCGAGCGTGTATGTCCAGGGGCAACTGAACAGCGGGCAATGAGATGGGGCAGCAGGCAGAAGCTCACCTGATATTCTGTCTGGGCTTGGCAGCAGTTGGGGTTGTTACACGTTGGATTGGGCTTCATCGTGTAGTTGGGGAAAAAGTCGGACAAAGCGTTGTATCCCAGATAGTCGCTCACCGTGCCAAACTTGAGCATGAACCTGTGCCACAACAGCATCAAGACATGTTGAATATGAAATGCCTCGACACATTCCAGATCAAGAGGCCGATGATCAACGTACTTGAGCGCGTTCTGAACGAGAAGGCCCGCGGTGACGCCCATAGTGGTAGGGAGAGATGCAGCGCAGACACCCTCTCTATTGCAGTCAAAAATTGAACACGGTGAAGGGAGAAGATGAAAGAGAAGAAGGAGAAAGGTGGAATGCGATATGGTGCTTGAGGCTCGAAAGGTCGACACCGAGCAAGCGATCACACAGACCGTTTGAGAGTACGCTCGTCGATCTCAGAGGCGACAACCAGTGGTGGAGCGCACTGAGGAAAGCATGAGTGGTGTCAGTGCCGATAGCTGCTAGTGTTGAGGCTCAAACGAGGTTTCAAGAGCTCCCCAATCACAAACCTCAAAGCATGCAGTCTTGCCGGGTGAGATGAACTGGATGTGGCCTGAGACGGCATTCTCACTAACACCGCTCTCAATCCAATCTTGTCGAGACTCAACACACGCCTGGTTGGCACAAAACAGAGACCTGTTGAGGAGTGGGAGTTTTCTTACGCGTGAACACGGTGTGCATGTGCAGTCAATGCTCAAACCTGGTTGAGCGCAATGCGGGCGCCAAAGTTGTCGACACAGCCGAGGACCAAGGTTACGGGCCCGCCGTCTACACCACCCGTTCTGAGGGGAGGAGTGTCCCGTTATTTGAAAGCGAATGGCGGCTTTTAGAAAGTTGAATCAAGGTAAAGAAAAAAGACATGTGATGCGGGCTCACTTGATGTTGTGACAGAGCTGGTTGAAATTGTCGAGCGTGGTAATATCCATGCAGTGCGTCTCAATCTGCACGTCCGGATTGATGAACTCGAGGGTGCGCTTGGCAGCATCGACCTGGGTGGGCGGCATGCGGTTGTCAAGGAGTGAGGAGCAAGGTGGCATCACGAATAAGGCGAGGTCAGAGGCGATTGCGTACCTTGGACAGGCCGGCCTGGTGTGGTTGAAAAAAGAGGCTATGGCACGAAATATGACATGGTGTGGGCACGATAAGTACGGCAGCATGACCTTGGGGCAAGGCAAAGGAGCGGTGGAAGGGCTAAGGCGACGGGCCCGAATCACGGACCGATTCATATTGGCCATCTCCACCTTGTCGTAGTCGTACAAGATGAGCTGAAGGGGCGACAATCCACAGGGGTCGTCAGTGTGCCACGGCGCCGGTTGATCGCCTCTGGCGCTGAAAGAGGCAGACAGGATCTGCATACCTTGCCCACACCACAGCGGGTAAGCATATCAGCAGTCACACTGCCCACGCCGCCCACACCGACAACCAGTACGGAGCAGGAACGGATGTCTTCGTAGCGCTCGACAATTTTCATGCGCTGGAGCGCCATCAAACGACTATCGAGCACGGCAGCCAGTGAGCGTCAAAGGCAGGCATGGTATCGGTGGCCAGCGTTGAGATGTCAAACCTATAAGGGTTGGAATCCACGACCTCGGCACTCATTTTCTCGATCTTAGGGCGCGCCAAAGCCTCGCTCATCTGCCCTTCCAGCTCAGCCACGCGGGCCCGCAGTCGCTCATTCTCAGCCTGAAGCGCCTCCATCTCGCTCTTGAAAGAGAGAGAGAGAGAGAGAGAAATGAATTGGTTTGGTCGGTCTGAGAAAGAGAGAGAGAGAAAAAAAAGAAAGAGCTGAGTGTACGGAAGTGTGAAGTTTAACACATTTACACACTGTCTTTAACGTGGATTTTCCTCTCTCTCTTGAGCTGAGGTACGATCACCCTGACTCGGCTGTATGTATGTGCGTGCGTGTGTGTGTGTTTCGTGGGCGAGCTCGGTGCTGAGGTTCTTGGGGCAGTGTGCTAGCTACCTCTTGAGGGGGTGTTGGTGACTCTGTGTGTGTGAGAGACGAACTTTGTAGTCCTGGGCATGCCTCGACGGGTGCCTGGTTTTTTACGAATCCAATGTGCCACGTTTGCATTTACTTTCTGTGCTCGGTGCTTCGATTTTGCGCAGACGGGCGGTGGACCCTTTCGCGCCTGCTCCTTCGCCCACTTACCTCTCTCTTCCCACAGTCGCGTTATCAGGCTGACCGCCGCCATGGCGGGTCTTGTGGCTGCTGTCCGGATGTTGCTGTTGCTGCTCGTGCTGATTTTGGTCGGGTTCTCCTTCTACAACACTCTGAGCAGTTCGGATCGCAGCGTCGTGGTGCCCGCGGATGCAGTTGTGCAGCCAGACAATGAACCGCCACGCCCACACGTGCGACGTGGCAAAACCCGTGCCGCCAACAGAGTACAACAAGCTCAGCGTCAGGTCCGTCAGGAACTGGAGCAAGAAGTGCAGAGAGCCACGGAAGCCCCACCCAAACGCAAAAAAGTGCCGCGCGCCCCCACCACCACGCCACGCCGCGCAGCCCCCACCGCAGCCAAGGTGTCATCAGATCGCCGAAAGCAGCTCGAGCTGCAAAAGCAGCAGCAGATTGAGCTGCAGCGCCGCCGTGCAAACTACACCAGCATTGATCAGCTCTACAACGAATTTGACGCCCAAGGCGTGGTCTCTGACATTTTACACTTAGGTCCCCGCCCGACCGTCAATTTTTTCGCGGGCCAACCGCTCAATGCGACAGAGCGCGTGTGGATCTTCAGCACTGACTCGAACTATCTGCGGTATGATGCTTGATCTTCCCCTTGCCTTGAGTGACGGCGAGTGCGCAACTGCTGCGTTCGTGCGCCTTCGTGTTCTTATGCGCTTCCTTGCACCACTTTTTTTTTCTCTCTCTCTCCTTGGCTCCTTTTTCCACTCACCGGTTTTGCTCTGGTTGGTACCCGTGCGGTTCGTGTGGGTGGCTACGGCGAATTTCAGATGCCTCACCCGCAATGATCACGACCATGTCATTCTGGATCTTTGTCATCCCAATCACTTTCATCGTCAGCAATTGCTCTTCAAAGATCGTGCGTAGTTTTCGCTACCCCTCTTCCCCCCCCTCCTTTGCGCGCACTCTTTGGTGGTGTTTGCTGCTGTTTTAGTGCCCCAAAACGCTGCACTGCTGCGCATCCACACCTTTACCCGTCTCCTTTACCACGCACACTTCTCACCTTGGGACGCATGTGCGCAATCGTGGCAGAGTTTATGGGCAACTTTGACCCAACGCTGGGCGAGTATTGCGTGGGGCTTGACAAGAGCAACATGGTCGTGACTGTACCTTGTCGTGCTTCAGACCCCACTCAGCATTGGGAGTTTGTTGATGGCAAGGGCTTGGTCAATCAGCACCGCGGGCTGTGCATGGTGGACAACGAAGGCTTTTCGCAGTGCTCTGTTGCGCCCTGTAACGCCAGCGCTTCGCAGTGGTTTATGCGCGTGACCAATGATATCATGCCTCACGCAGACAACTGGGCACGTTGGACTGCGACCTTCAAAGAGCGGCGCCAAGCCGCTATCGATCAGACCCGCCCCGTTGTGCAGCGTGCTCTGGAGCGAGTCGCCGTCAGCCGCGCTGAGCCTGTACCGGAGACCCGCGTCAATCGTCGAGTCGTCGTGTTCTTTCAACCCCCCAAATACCTGGCCGTGTACACTCAAATTCGCTGGTGGCTCCTGGCCTGGCGCGAGCTGCGACTCAATCAGCCTGATCAAAAGTTTGACGTTCTCATTTATGGTGATATCAAGATGCTAGCCAACATTACGCGTGACTTTAAAGAGTGCGAGCAAAAACCTCTCGACCCCACCCTGGCCCCACCGTCTGAGTCGAGCGCTGGCGTGTGTTGGGTCATTCCTTTTGTGGGTGCTTCCCAACGTCACCCCGAGGAATACGACGGCTGGTTCAACAGGTACGTTGCATGCGCTCGCCCGTCGTGGAGTCTTGTTTGATTTATTTATTTATTATTAGTCATCATTTTTTTGGGGGCTGCGACTCGAATCTCACCATGAACGTGGTGCTGACTCCGGGTGAATGTCGTCTTGATTCTCAGCATCGAAGTTTTGGTCAACGAAAACACGAGGCCATTCTTGCGTCAATGGACCCTTTTGCTGCGAGCCGACGCCGACACGTTTCCCACGCCTCGCATGCGTGACTTTTGGGTCGATGCCACCCACATGGGGCGTAACGCTGGGGTACGTGCGTGTTGCAAGTTCTGCACGTCCTTCTTTGAGGGGATCAAATTTGTTTGTTTCTGGTTGAGTTTGTGGATGTGTTGTTTGCTTCATTGCCTCATCTTGCCGACTAGCACCGCATCTTGCCTGCCGCTCACGCAAAATTTTTGGCTTTTTCAAAATGCCCGGGCGGTATGGACAGTACAACAATCGTTACTCGCAGGCCAAGCTGGCTGAGGCCGCGGCAGATGCCGGGTTGAAGTACATCAACGAGATGCACTTTGCCTCCTCTTTCTATGGACCTGTCGACACGGTCTTGCGAATCAGCGATTTGACCATGGCAGCGGGGTTGTATCTACGAAAGCACCTCTTTTCGCCTGGCCTCGGTTGTCGCCTGCCCAGCTTTCTTCGTCCCAGGGGCACAAACTGTGAGTGGGGTTCTGGCCTTTGGGAGGGTGTCATGCTTCTCTATTCGCAGGAGGTCGCGGTGAATCACCTTCTTGGTACCAACGACAACATTGTGAGCTTCAAGGGGCCGGAAATGGACGTGCCCACCGGGGGCAAGGATAATATTTGCCGTGCCCGCATGTTCCACGTGTATCATATGGACGATCGCTTCAGCAAGCACCACTTCATCGTGGGCAATTACGCCAAACTTGACATGATCGATTACGATTTGCGTACCACGGCTGATTACTGCACCTGGCTGGCCCTGACAGCCAATGATCAGGGCTTGAACGGACCTGAAGTGTATGCCAAGTTCAACAACGATCTTTCCAAGCTGTGCGACTGATCCTAAAGACTTGTGCTTTACTTCTATGGGGCTCAACATGGGCATCAAGCTGGTGATGCAGCCACTGATGCGCCGTTCAAGCAAGACAAGGCACGGCCTGTGAGGCCTGCCTGTCTAGATTGTTTTTCTCCACCCTTTCTGCCCTCGGACCCCCTTCCCCCGTATCGTATTTATGGGCATGAGTGCTTGCCTTGGGAGTCACCGTGCACCAACACAGGATCTTCATGGCAAGCAGCTTTGATGAAACCTTGTCGAGGCTACCGCGTGTGTTCTGAACGGTGGCTTCCCAACCATCGACCTGTGTTGGTAGCGTGGCTGCCTGCTCAAATTTTACACTGTCATTCCGTAGCTAGAGTCATTTCATAGTTAAGAGTCATTTCATAGCTAGAGTCATTTCGTAGCTAGAGTCATTTCATAGTTAAGAGTCATTTCGTAGCTAGAGTCATTTCGTAGCTAGAGTCATTTCGTAGCTAGAGTCATTTCGTAGCTAGATTTTGCTTACTACTTTTTTTTGAGACATGAACAAAAATTGGTGCACAACTCATGCGCAGAGATCCGTCACTTCTCACTACGCACAGGGGCAGTGGCGGCGACATCTGTGCCCTCAGGCAAGTGGTACTTGGGATCCACGGGCCTACATGACAGAATTCATCCAAATTACATCGGGCACAAGACCTCGTGAGGATTTCCGACAATATCGCGGGGGCGCAGAATCGAAAAAAGCATGAGCGCACTTAAGCAGACTGTTGCAAATAAAGGCAGCCGTCAGCAGAGCGCTCATGCTGTACAGAGTCGTGTTGTAAAGCCCCGGAGTCGGGTCCAGGGTTCCAGGCGGGGCAATGTCCATCAGGTGCGCTGAGTTTGGGGACGGAGAGAGCAGCGGGAAGAAAAGAGGTCAGTGGGCAGGTTGCCATGCGAAGCAGACGGTCTCCCTTGTCAGCGCACGGGTACACCGCGGCCCTTTCATGTTTTTTTTTTTTCTTCTTCACGGAAGCGCACCAATTGTGACGGTTTTGGTGTCCAACAGGTGTTTCCATTGGTCGATGGCAGCGCCAAATTTGCGCTCGAAGGCGGCGGGGTCAATTTTGGACACCAAGTCCTGTGCTGCAGATGTGTACGAGCTGGTGGCACCAAGATTGTTGTGAACACGCGTGCCCATGCCACACTGCCCAGAGTGCAGTGGGCACGACAAGCGAGCCATGTAGAGGTATCACCGACCTGTTGCGCATGGTTGACAGCAAAAGAGGTCCTCCGAGAGCAGCGGCCGACCACTATGCAGATCAGGGGAGAGGAAGGGCGTGGCAGTGAGCTCGCGGGCAAGCGATGCAGATGCCTGTGAGTTCGTCATGCAACGGCTGTGGAGGCGGCGCACGCACTGCGGTGAGCTGACGACCATGAATGGCTCCGACGTGCTTCTGGCCAAATAAATCGGCCAGGTAGGCAGGCAGCACTGTGCACAGACAGAGCAACAGATACACCGCGTTAAACGGCAGCAACGGGCAAGTGGGCGAATGACAAAAGGCCGCACGCAACACAGGCAGGCGCAATGAAGCACGTCCCGCCAATGGTACCTGAGAAAAGGCCAGCGTAGAAGCTCACGACCAGAGCCGTGCCTCCACAAAACATGTACAGAGGTACAGGGCTGGGATGCTCAATGAGGTAGTTGGTCAGGGAGGGAAGGCCGGCTAGAATGGGAACGCTAAGGCCAAAGAGGAAGTACGTGTTCTTGCGACCCAGATAGTCGGAGGCAGCAGCCCAACCAAAGCGACCCAACATGTTAACACCGCTCAGTGCAGCCACATAACCAGCGGCGAATCCGCCGGTCACAATGCCCGGCAGGGCAGCGCCAAAGACATCAGACATGATGGTTTTGGCACAGCTCATGACCGTGACACCGGCGATGGCATTGCCAGCCACAGCAGCCCACAGGAGGTAGAATTGAGGAGTCTTGAGTGCCGTGTTGTGGTGGACGTTGGCAGTGGTGATCATGTCGCTTTTGGCTGCAAGGGATGGGTCCCAACCCTGAGTGTGTGGGAGCCAAGCGACGGCGCACAATGAGCAGGCCAACCCCCATGTGTGTGTGCGTGCGTGTGTGCGGGTGGGTGAAGCAACTTGGTTCGTGGATGAGTTGCCTCGATACGACTGGTGAGTGTACGAACCGCGGGCACCCAGCCAGCAGGTGGCACACGTTGCCCAGCTGCGCCCAAGGTCATGGCGGTAAAATAGCCGGTGCCTAGAGTGAGAAAGGTCTTGGCGGCACCCGTGTTGCCAGAGCCGGCCACATAAACACCCGGCTCCAGCTATGGAAGAGGGCAGTTGGCAGTTCGTGCTGTGAGGCTTTGAGATCCAAGTGCAAGCAGGCCTTGAACTTTCTTTGCCACTCACGTTGTCGTAGCCAAGGGCACCAATGTCAGTCTTGCTGGCAACGACCACTTCCTTGAGTTCCCCCGCGACTTCGGCATAGCGGCGGCCCTGTTCCGTGACCATTTGCACCGTGTCGGCCTGAAGCAAATAAATCGTTGATGAGTCGCTTGAGAGCGCGTGCGTTTGCTTCACGATTGTTGCCGAGGAAGGGCAAAGCACCTGCAAGTCATCTGGGAAGCGAGAGGGAGAGCGAGGTGCGTACACTGCCGAGAAACGTGGGAGTTTCAAAATAGAGCTGGAAGAGGAACTCGTTTATGGGCGTGGCCAGCATGGCACCGCCGCCAAAGGCCGTCAACGCCAGGCCGGTGGCTAGACCGCGGCGATCGGGAAACCACCTATCACCGATTGAAACGACCGGTCATTGGAGTATGATTAGCATGCTTCACCAGGCGGAGTTACAAGAGGTCCAATGTGGTGAAAAGTGGTCACGGGCAGCAACCAACTTCATCAGATTGGAGACGGGGGCAATGTAGCCAAGGCCCCAACCAACACCACCGAGCAGGCCGTAGCCAAGGTAGAGTGCCGGGAGGTAGTGGAATTCGGTGCCAACACCCGTGATCAAAAGACCACCACCCCAAGCCAGGGCGGCAGCTGCCGCCACGGCACGGGGACCTTGACGCTCCGCCCAAGGGCCTGGCACAGCGATGCACAAAGTGAGCGATTGGCAAGAAGACAATTTGATGTTGGGTTGGCAAAGGTCAGATGTAGCAGACCTACCCAGGAGCGCAGTCGTGGCACCAAGGGTCATGGCACAGAGGGAGAAGATGGGTAGGACCTGTGAAAGGGTCCAATCATCGGCGGCAGCCGTTACAGCACCAATCTCGCGAGTCAGAGGGGCGTTGAAAACACTCCAGGCGTATACTGAGCCGACGCTCAGTTGAATGAGGAAGCTGAACGGCACATTCAGGAAGCGGTTGTAATCGGGCCGTGCGACAATGGCATCGCGAGATAAGAAGTGGAAAAAGCCCTTCTTTGCTGGTTTGCTGGCCTCATCTTCGGAGGCAGGGGTTTCGGTGGTTGGCTGCGCGGCTTGTAGATGGCGCACGCCTGTGCTAAGAGCACGCTGTTGCCACAACCTGGGCTGGGGCCTGAGCAGAGCTGCATCCTCGGAGGCCTCGTCGCGCGTGCTGATCGGCGACTGCAAATGAAGCCAACATGCCGACGGCGCAGCAAAGCGGGCGGCACTGCTTTGACCTGGACGCAGAAGAGCCAGCAGCGCCATGACGATGGGGCGTGGGCAGGATAAGGAGCAGCAACTCCACTTCAAGAAAAAAAAAAAAAAGGTACGAGCACGAGTACTGGGCGTCTCCAGCCCCAAAAGATGGAAAACTACGATCAGTGTGTGTGTGTGTGTGTGTGTTCACACAACAGGTGGTTTTTTTTTTCAAAACTATGGCTGGGAAGGGGTCGAATGGAGCAGATGAGGTGAGGTGCTGACACGGATTTGCAGTATACTCTCTGTGGCAGTTGCTGTTTTGCTGTTGGCGTCAAGGCTGGGGAGCTGTTGTTCTGCATCGGGCTCGTTCTCATTCGGGCTCGTTCTCATTCGGGCTGCCGTTCAGTTCCACCGCTTGCGCAAGAGCGACTGGCACGATACGACAGTCGAATGCAGTGACCATATCTAATTTTTAACGGTGAATTGCAAGTCTAACATTGTCATACTTTCCCTTGTGAAATATAAGAGAGAGAGAGAGAGAGAGAGAGAGAGAGAGAGAGAGAGAGAGACAGAGAGAGAGACAGAGAGAGAGACAGAGAGAGGGAGAGAGAGACACAGAGACAGAGACAGAGAGAGAGAGACAGAGAGAGACAGAGACAGAGAGAGACAGAGACAGAGACAGAGACAGAGAGAGAGAGAGAGACAGAGACAGAGAGAGAGAGAGACAGAGACAGAGAGAGAGAGATTTAGAGAGAGAGATTTAGAAGGAGAGGGATTTCGTTGTCGGTGTTGGCACATTCCAGCGGCAACCGCTGGGGAAGGGAGAGAAGAGGTAGCCTTGGGCTGGAGATGCATTCGCGAGCGTGGTCTTGCGCTTGCATGTTGGCTGCCGTGAGCCGCGTCGGGTGTTTGGTGAGGGTTTGAGCTACTGGAGGTACACACTCACTGGGGCATTGCGCGTGGTCGGGGTTGGTAGAGCGGGCGACATCTTGCTGCGTTTTGCAGCTGGCAGTGCAGTCGCGACGCTGTGAGCTGCTCGGCCCTTGATTGATTCCTGCTAGTGTCCTGTATGCGCTCAAGAATCAAGGCAAACATGAGCATGCCAAGGCATGTCGGCCGCGGGGCTAGCGCGTTGCGGGCTGGCTTAGTCCTGCTGGCCACACTCCTGGCCGTGGCCAATGGAACCATCAAGACGTTTTCCAATACTGTTGGTCATATGCACAGCGAAACCCTTTTCGCAGCCTCATCTGAGAACGCCAATCGTCCTTTCATCGAGGTGGAAGGTAAGAGGCTTATAAGCCAGTTCCGTGACCCCTCCAACTCACCGTCGCCACCATCACGTTCTTCCAAAGGCTATTCAATCTGATTCAGCTTAGCATGCCGGCCGCACCAAGTTCAGTTCTCATCGACGCGCCTCGTTGCTTCGTAGTCGACTGCCCGGACCAACACATTCCCGTCTCCTTGATTCTGGTTCAAACCATCTCAGACGGCATCTACGTCCACGATGTATGTAGCTGGGCGGCCGTCGTTTTGCCGAAAACGCTGGGCCTTCTCACCATGCCACCCTGGCGCCGCTCACACCTCGGCGCTGATCCGCATCTCGGGCCGAATAGGCTCAATACACACCAACATATGCCACAGCTCGTTGCGGCCGACGCGTGCTACAAGGTGGTTCAGGTGAGTTTATATCGTGAAGTGCATCATGGTGTCAAAGGCGGCCTGCCAGGGTTTGCCAGGTCTTACAAAAGGCCTCGTATGTGTGGTTTGTGCGGGCATGCATGTATAGGTACCAACACCAGCGAGGCTCGCCGCGGTCCCGAGAATGGCGGGGTGCCATCTCCACCTGCATCAGCAGACTCCACCAGCTCCACACCCGCGGCCTCCACCGTCGATGGTCTGAACGATGATCTGTCCCTGTACATTCCTAATGGCACTGGCTGCAGTTCCATTTCTGGTCTTTTGGTTTGTGCCTGCTCTGGCTTGTGGTTCTTTTTGCAGTTGAGGTGTCATTTCTGCGCCCGCCTTTGTCCCTGGCATCGTGCATTCTTTTGCTGCCAAACTCATTGCTGCATTGGTCTGGTTTCCCTCAGTACCGCACCGATATTGTTCGTGTGGTTACGGCCAAGCACTTTATTTGCAAACCGGGAAGCTCACAGTCAACCAAGTTCAAAGCCGCCAACGCTCCTTTCGACCACAGTGGATATTACTCCTTGTGGATCGAGAGTTTCAACTCGGAAATCAACTCAACCACTCAGTTTTATCCTGGTCCTCTCATTTCCGGTCAGTTTTCTGTTCCGGCTTGGCCCGCATTTGGTTTCAGATTTCCGCGCAACATCGGCAAGACTGTTTGCTCTGGTCCTTGGCTGACGCTGCTTTGGAATCCTTTCTCGTTGGTCAACGTTGCCTCCTCAATCTGTCAACGTACGGCCTCTGCCAACATTCTTTTAGGAACCACAACCTTTATGAACACTCATGGCTACTTGTCGGCCGCGCTGTGGCCCGAGCGCACCTTTTATGGTATCATGGGGCTTTTGTACCTCGGTCTGGGTTTGATCTGGACGGCCTACTTGGCCTGCTACTACAAGGTTAGTCTGCTCGCTCTGATTCAGGCTGGACTCGTAGCTCGCTGGCCACCTCCTTCTTGCTTCCGTCCCTTTCCACAACAGCATGTAGTCAGCTCATCCTGGTGCATGTGCCAAACACAGGATCTACTGCGTGTGCAATTTTGGATCGGCTTTGTCGTTTTCCTTGGCATGCTCGAGATGTCTGTCAGTTTTGGTGACTTGGATCACATCAACAAGCACGGAACTCGAAGCCATGGCGTGATGGTACGAGATTGCTCTCTTTTCTCATTTGCTTTTGAGTAGAGTCATGTTCACCTTGATATTTCACTGCATTGTATTTATTGATTTTTTTTTTTTTCTTCTTTCATTTCATGCGGATACAACGGTCATTCTGGGTTTTCATTCTCATTCTCTATTCCGGCTCTCCATTTTGGGGTGTCTAGATTTTTGCCAAACTGCTGTTTGCAGCTAAGAACACGGCCGCGCGTTTGTTGGCCTTGGTTGTTAGCATGGGCTACGGCATTGTGAAGTATGTTTTGATTTTTCCTTTTTCCTGTTTTGCATATGCAGGATCAGGTTAAAAGGAATTTGCTTCTCATGCCAATCGCATTGGCTAGGCCCCGTATTGGCGAGTCAGTGAAGCAAGTTGTGGCCATCGGTGTGGCCTACTTCTTTTTCGCGGCGACTTATGGCATCACCCACGCACAGGCGCGCGTATGTCCGAGCTACTTCTGTTGTGAACCCATTCATGGTCTCTCGTGCTGTTCTTTGCATTCGGTTGCCATATTTGGGGTCGAATTGTGTATGAATCTGGCTGAGACCACATGTTGAATGTGCATTCTCGTTGCTTGCCGGCATCTTGGCGTGCTGTTGACCTCACACACGGGCCGGATCTTCATGCGGGACACTGCAGGGTTCTGCAAATGATAATGCAGACGTCATTACGGTGGTTCCCATGTCCATCATTGATGCCGCATTGATTTGGTGGATTTTCATGTCTTTGGCCCATACCATGAAGATCCTAAGCCTCCGGTCGGTTCAAGGTTTTTTTTTATCTCGCGTTTTGTGTGAGTGGAGTGCCTCCTGTGCTATCCCGTCTCAAGGTGTATGTTTTTTTTTTTTTTCTTTTGCAATATTTTTTAGAAACAACGAGGTGAAGCTGCAGTTGTACACGCGCTTTCAGTGGTGTTTGATTTTGTGCGTGGCTGCCACCATCATCTTTATCGTTTGGAGCTTGATCGACGAAAACGTCCGGGATTCTGCGGGCGAGGATGACTGGCGCAACGAGTGGTGGCAAGAGGGGTACGTCTAGGGCGGTTTCTTGCTCAATGTCGGGCGTGTCCAAGAGTTGGGACTGTCGGCTTGACCCGCTAGCGCACTGGTCTCACGCCGTGTTTACGTGCTGGTGCACAGCTTTTGGCATTTGCTTTTCTTTGCCATCTTGTCAGCCATCATGGTATTGTGGCGGCCGACCCAGAATAACCAACGTTACGCTTACACGGCGCTCGACAACGACGATGACGACGAGGATGATTTCGAGGTGAGAACGGGATGAAGAGACGATCAAGGCGCCGCGCATCCGCTCACGCAACTTTTCTGGCTGTACGACCCAATCAAATGCCAAACACAGGTGGTACCCAATTTTCAGCAAGATGCCATGAAAATGCGCAACCTGCAATCTCGCAATCAACCTGCGCGCATGGATTTTGATGAAGATGATGTAAGCTCCGAACATGCGACCCAGCGTTCCACATGGGAGCTACCGGTGCCCTGCCTGACAGGTCCGTTTGACGTCTTTGGGCGCGTGTCAACAGGATGAGGATCTGCGTTGGGTGGAGGAGAACCTGCCCAGCGTGGTGGCCAACGCGGACAGCGGGTTTGGCAATCTGCCCATGGATTCGGATGAGGTACGGTTGGGCTGCCATCTGGATGCAATGTTGCTATTCTCACTCGGTTGGCACGGCTCCTACCTACCTGATAGGAATTGATGCATACTCGTTTTGAGCTGAGTAAAATGGATTGAGGCAAGAGCCCAGCTTGCCAGGACGAATGGCTGACCTTTGGAAACGCTCTTCTTCTTCTTCTTCTACTCCTTTTTTTTTTTTTAATTTCTGCTCAGTCGTGACACCCCTCTTTTGTTTTTGTCATATCCCTCACTTGTTTTATTCACCAATCTGCGGAGGCGCTCGAGCCCATCTTGCCCATCTTGCGCCTTGAGCAAGGAATTCAATCAACAAGCAAGCAAGCAAGACAAATAAATTGTTCAGTCAAAAGAGGGTAGACAGAGCCGGAAAAGAAAGAAACGAGGCTCGCAGCAGAATGGAACAAATTCTGCAACTTGAGGATCCAAATGAACATGGTCACAGCACGGCGGAATGAACTCTGGACGAACAACCATGCTAAAGAATTCGGCATCGTGCAAGGCATCCAAGAATTGGTGTGCTCTTGGCAACTGCATTCCGAAAACGCGTAGAGTCGGCTGCAAATGGACTCATCTCACAAAAGGAGGAAAAATATGACGGACAGTCTCAGGGGAGAAGAGCGAAAGAGAGACAAGGGACAAATGTGATCGGTCTGTCACTTGTTAAAACTCTTAAAGAAACACAACGCTGTTCAGATCGTGAACGCGTCTTGCGATGTTCACGTCCTCACGAATAATGTCGCGATCATGCAGCTGACCTTCACGCTGCAGCAGTTGCAGAATGGTTTCGACAATGGCTCGGTCTTTGGCCTTCTCGTCGTCGGAGAGTTCTGTGTAGGGCGTGGCGCCCAAGGCAACACGTGATTTATATTTGTCGTAAGCTGATTGTGAGGCAAAACAACCTCTCTGAAACAGGGCTGGTTGGTTCTTGCCCGACTTGGGGCCAGAACTGGAGTTGGGGTGGGGGTTGACAGTCTTGGCGCCAGGCCGGCTCGGACCGGGCTGTGTCGAGGGGGCTGTCTTGCAGTCTGACGTGGATGTTAGAGCGGAGCCATATTTGGTGGCATCCCAGACGGTGCGAGCGGCTAGAGCCCAGCCATCGTGCACGGCTTCGGCAACTTTCTCCACCGCGATGGGGTGCCCTGCACGACGGGCGGCGGTAATGGCTTGGACTGCAGCACGGCAGGACTGTATGTTGGCCCGCATGCCAAACGAACTGGGATCCTCATCACTGGGGTACCCGTACAACCGGCTCAAGACCCGACTGGAGCAGCGAGCTAAACAGCAAGACATCGAAAGGGGGCCGCCAGAAGGATGGAAGACGACGGGGGGGGAAAGGGACATGAGGGCAAGCTGGCGCGAGGACAGCAGGGGCAAGACGCAAAGAAACAAGAAGCGGAGATTTGAAGCAAAAAGTCGGAGTGATGGGATGGCTAACTACGGGATGGATAACTACGGACCATATTCGTCTGCTGCTGGAGCCGCCATGCCAAAGGCGGCGCGACGTGCGATCGTGGTGGCGGTGGGGGCAGCTGAAACAGCCAGGGCTCCCAAGCCCACACAAGCCAAGCGTGCTGGGGCAGAACTTGTACAATAGCGAGATGGGGTGGGGGATCTAAACGACCACGAAGGGCTCTCCAGCAGGGAAAGGGCAGAGGTTTGCGTGGAAACGTGCGTGTCCAACATGCCCAACTGTCCGGCGGTCAGCACAGCACCAAACCAAACAACATACAAAGGAACGGGAAAAAAACACCAAATAAAACAACAAGAACCCGAACGAGTAGAGCAGGTGAGGGGAGAACAGTTGCGACTCATCGCGATAGCTCATGTGAAAAGGCCCAGCAGAGGCTGTGTGTTGCTCACGAACCGTGCTGAAAAGTTGTTGGCGAGGGGCCTGGGCTATCTTCTTGGAGAAAAGCGCGGCGAAGGTACCAGATACCAAACAAGCTCACGCGAGAAGGGCAGAGCCTATACCTCTTCGTGTGCGGCGATGGGGATGCTTGGACGCTAGAGTCCAAGAAGCGCACAAAGAGGGCGCGAAGGAAGGATGGCGAGCCTGCTGGGATTGAAATCTCTGAAACCAAAAGCTCGAATCGGCCTGCGATCGATGCCCAGCACCGCGTCGTCGTCGTCGGACAGGTGGCAACACGTTCAACGGCGACAAGCCGTCGGCGAACAATAAGAGCACGCAGTGAGTGAGAGATGACAAAAGAGAAAGCAAACGACGCTCTATTTATAGAATACCCTATAAATAGAGATTTGGTGGAACCGCACACACGTACACACACAAGCGGAGACGGCCAAAGTCGGCGTCGAGAAGCACAACAGGACTGACCACCGTCGCGTCAACTTGCTTGGACAACTTGCTTGGATAGGTTGGAAAAGATCGTAAGGTTGGCGAGAAAGAAAATGGCGACTTGTCGAGCGTGACATAACATTCCATGACGCGCTTTTCTTCTTCAACGTCTAAAAATAACGCTTGAAGTTTTCTTGTTCCGAAACTGGCTTCTCACTTCCCAAGCAATTTGCTCTGCTCTCTGCTCTTACAAGCGCTTCTTGCTTGCTTCTGGGAAGCATCCTCCAAGGTTGAGCGCACGATCGTGGGAGTCAACGGTGTTGGTGAGAGAGCGGCTTGCTGACCGAAGGCGCAATCACCAATAACTTTGTCGAGCGAGACGGTATATGGCTGACCCCGCCCGCCTCGCAAAGGCTTTAAACCATAATGACGTTGGTATAGATCTCATCACTTTTTCGTAACGAGCGCAAACGTGAATTCTTACACACAAACCGGCGCACAGAGCTACAACCAAGTGAAAAGTATCTTCACAAGCACATCAAGACGCGCCGCAACTCGAGTCAACACAGCCAAACACAAACAGAAAGACCGAAAAGAAAAGCTAAATTGCCAAGCCGCATGATTTTTTACACACAAACCGTATCTGCGCAGCAGACGAAACCGATGTTCGGTCCGGATTGGCGAGCATCGGCGAAAAGGCTCGGATAAAGACATCATCGACAACGCATGACTCTACGGACAACAACGAGACACGAGTGGCAGAGTATGCCTGTCATGTCGCAAGCGAACCCAACCACTAGATGAAACATTTATACAGGGTACAGTCCAATATCGCGAACGCCGCTGGGCCGACTATGCTGGTGCATGCTGGAGGGCCGCGCATGCTGTCGGGACGGTGACTGCAACACTTGCCAGCCTAAAGTGTGGCCAACAAAGGCAGGCGACTTGTTTGAGACAATGCAGAGCTTGAACGATGTGGCAAAGCCACAACAAACAGCAGAGTCTGACACGTCAAACGGCCCAGTGAAACACACGGAGAAACACACAGATAAGCACAGCCACAGATACAGACCTTGCTGACCCGACTTGACGTGTAGCAAGGGCATCTTGTGTGCTTCGTGATAAACTGGAATCTCGTCGAGGGACGTGTCATGAAACAGCGGCTTGGACTGAACCCGCGTGAGCGTCGCTGGGGTGCGCATGCCGGGTTCCATGGCACGCCAGGCCATTGGGCTAGCATACGAGGGGTCGGCCTGGTATCGGCGTGCTTGAGCACCCGTTGCCTCAGGCTCACCCGCAATCTCGTCAGAAATATCGAGTGTGGCTTTTCGTTGATGCCTCCTGCGCGTTGCAGGAAACACGTCACACAATGCGTGCAGCGCGCACACACACAGTGAGCACGATGAGGCACAACTCGAGTGGCGGATCCGAGTTCAAGACAAATTTGGAAATAGGGCTCAGAAAAATCAAAGTGCAAAAGACACGATAGCATGCATGTGTTTCGTGTGGTCGAACCCACCTGCGCCAAACAAGAAGCAGGACCAACAGCAGCGCCAGAGCAAGCAGCGTCGCCACAAGGATGGCTGCAATTCGCCACTCGCGCTCGTCATCGTCATCGTCGTTGAGCGAAGAGCCTTCTCCCTCGCCCACTCCATCTGTGGTGTCTATGCGGGGCAAACGCCGTCGCCAGACCAAACAATGCCTCACTTAGACCCACAAAGAAAAAACAACACAACAAAGGCCAATCCCTTGCGCTACCGAAAGGCGCACACAAGCAGGCAGGCGTACCAAGCTGCAGAGGTGTCAGGTCCAGGGAAGACTGTTCCACTGGGGCACCAACGGCAATTGTGCCCACACCCACGTCCGAGACAGTGATGGAGCCTTGATCCAAAAGCGCATCGCCCACATTGCGCGCATCAGCCTCGCTGGGAAAATCGGTAATGTATGCATCCAATCGCGTACCCTCAGCTCGACGCCGAGCGTCAAAAGCTGACACAGAGGAGGCGACCACGCGCGGGCCAGGCACACCCGCAGCGCCACTAGCATCACACCGGTGGCAGTGAGCATCCACAATGTCCCTCAAGGTGGCGATGCTGTGGCAAGGCAAAAAAGGCGAGACACAAGGGCGACAAGAGCGGTTACCTGAGGCCTAGGCGGGCATTAAGAAGGTCCAGTTGGGCAAAGTCATCCAATGGCACGTCGTTAAAGAGCAGTCCGACGGGCAAGGCAAAACGTTGGTTTGAGGTTGTAGTGGCGGGTGCCGACGAGGTGGGCAATGTCGTCGCCACGCTTGACGTGGTGGGTGCCGACGCACTGGTCGTGGTGACGGGTGTTGGAGAAGTGGGCAAGGTCGTGGTTGAATCCTCTGCAGTGGTGGTCGATGATACAGTGGTGGAAGAAGGCTCGCCTGAACCATCACTGGTGGTCACCGGATCGACAGAGGTGGACGTGGTGATGGGCTCGGCAGTCGTCAAGGTACTAGTACTACCGCTCCCATCATCACCGCTCGTTGTCGTGACTGTAACTGGAGTGGTGGTCGGGCTGGTGGTGGTCAGAGGTGTGGGGGCTGGAGTGGTGGTAAACACCAGCGTGCTGCTCGAGGCATCGGCCGTGGTCGTGCCAGTGGCCACGGAAGTTGTGTCTGGGACGGTGGTGGTAACCAACGTGCCGCTCGAGCCATCATCCGTAGTGATCATGGGCGTTGTGTCTGGGACGGCGGTGGTTCCCAGCGTGCTGCTTGAGCCATCTTCCGTGGTGGTGGTCATGGGCGTTGTGTCCGGGACAGTGATAGTCACCAGCGTGCTGCTGCTGCTCGAGCCATCAGCCACCGTTGTGCTAGTGGTCATGGACACTGTGTCTGGGACCGTGGTCGTCATCAGCGTGCCGCTCGATCCATCATCCGTCGTGGACATGGCGGTTGTTACGACGGTGGAGACGGGCGGCGTGGTTGGTCCACCGCCCGATCCTGCATCAGTTGTGGTCAGGGGCACGCTTACACTGGAGGTTGACGATGCAAGTGGCGTGGAGGGCAGTGCCGTACTCTGCGTGGTCAAAGTTGTAGCAGGCGGAGTGCTCGAAATTGTGCCCGGTGGCGTTGTTGAGACAACTGTGACGACGCCCGAACCGTCCATGGTAGTGCTACCAGCTGCTGTGGTCGAGACCAACGTTGTGGTTGACGGAAGGGTTGAGGAAGATCCCACGCTACCTGAGCCAGTGGATTCTGTTGTGCTAGGTCCTGTCGGGGCTGTGGGTGGCAGCGTGGTGTCAGGCGGTGTGCCTGATGGGCTGGCGGTATCCTCAGTCGGGGCTTCCAGAGTGGTGCTCGGTGCCAGCGGCGTGGTGGATACGGCAGGGCTTGGGCCTAGCGTCGGGGCCAAGGGGCTGGAAGTTGTGCTACTGTTGGCCTCGGGGGTGGTCGTGGCGGGCATTGCCGTGGTGAAGGCGGTTGGTGGTACCGTGGGTAGTGTTGTGGTGGCCAACGGGGTGGAGCTACTGGGATTGAAGGTGGTTGAAACACCAGAGCCATCATCGGCATTCGTCGTCGAAAACGTTGTGGGAATGGTCGTTGGTGGAGCAGTGCCCGTGCCCGAGCCGCTATCGTCTGCGTCACCACTGAGACGACATATGGATCAGAAAATGAACCAAGTCAGGAATGGCGACAAGAAGCTCGCGTATGGCATGATGTATTATGCTCGGCCAAGCCGGATCAACATAGCACACGCCAGGAAAGTGGCATGGATATTTTTAAAAAAAAAAAAGTAACAAAGTAAAAAAAATTGCCATACCTGGCTACAAATGTCGTGGTGGGGGAGGACGTCGTGGTGCATACCGCGAGCCACGGCCCGGTGCTGAGCAAGAGGGACAGGGCCACCCATACCTGCACCGTCATCCTGGCAGCTGGGGGTGTCCGTGCATGCCACAAACCAGCAGACATGTTAGGATGAGCCACAAAGTCCCGTTCAACGGATAAGCTGCGAGCAGGCTCACCAACCTTTCATGCTAACCGATCGATGATAGGAAGACAGGAAAAACGGCCGGGATGCGCTCACGCGCCCCGAAGTTTGGATGAAAACGGATCACGCTATCGAGGTACTGGAGCAGCAAGCGAAACGCAGGGCAAAAGAAGGAGCCGATGCGGCGCGCGCGCGCGAGCACGGCACGAACGTAACCCACGCCACGAGGCGACTCTGTCGAGACAAGAGCAATGCCACCAGCAGCTGTGTGCGAGGAACGGTGCGCGCCTGGATCACTCGGCCGGGCTCCAGCTACACGGCACTGGGTAGCGAGGCGCCAAGGGACCAGCAGGAACCCGAAACTCTCAGATCGTCAATCTGCGCTAAGAGATGAATGCCGCACAGTGCGCCAACGGGTCAACATTGCAGGCCTGGCAAGGCCGTTGCTCTGTTGCCGATGCCCACCCACGAAGCCAGCACAAGAGGGGAAGGGAGTGCACACTCACCGATGCACGCATGCAAACCACAGCAAGCAAGAAGCAGCCGTAGCAGAAGAGGAAAAAGACGTCGCTCGACCAGGAGCAGTCAGGATGTCGCACCGCGTCGTGCCGAGACTTGAAATGAAGTCGTATGCTCAACGCTGGCTCGTTCTGCTTCTTCTGCTGTTTTTGCTGCTTTTACTACCATCAGCTTTCGCACAGTACATTACATGTATTTCGTGGGAGACGACAATAACTACATCGAGAGCGACACCAACTGTTGCGTTCAACAAAAGAAGTTGACGCTTGGCCATTGTTCAACAACAATTGAGACCCCGACAAAATGCTGACAAATTGAAAGCACTCACTCTCTCACACACATAACATGCTTCGTCTTGGTCTTGATGAATTCAGATCTGGATGAGCTTTGGGATGAGGGCGGGGTGGGTAGAAGGCGCTTTTCGTTCGGGCTCACAAAGCGGGGAAGAGACAAAAGAGAGACAGGGAGAGAGGGAAAGGGGATAGAAAAGGTGGGCATGGGCATGCACGCACGCACGCACGCACGCATGTGAGCGCATGGACATGAACGGGCTGGTGATGGTTCGATTCTATTAATCGTAGTCATCGTTGTCTTGATCCATTGCTGTTTGTCCCATGGTCTATCGGTCAACAAAAGGTGATGAGTGAGAGGTCTGGAGAGGCGAGCGGAGCTGAAAGCTAGTGATTGTGATGGAAGCAGCCACGTTGGGCCACACACCTGTGCGCTGTGGTCAATGGCGTCGGTCGTGCTGGCGCTCTGCTGTTCCTTAAGCTTGCGGCCGATGCGGTTGCGCTTGGCTTGCTCTGCCGCCTCAACCGAACTCTATATGACACCACGTCCATATGCCAAAGCCAATTGGAAAAACAATGAAAGTTGGCCGGGCGCACACTCTTTGCCCAAAGAAGGGCAGGCATGAAGAGGCAGCCCAGCCAAACGCATTCAACGCCAGCGGCCTGGTGTGGTCGGGAACAGATGAGAGAGTCGAAGTGGATCGGCGTACCTTGGTAGGATACAACTGCCATGGTCCGCGCGAGGCGGCCGGTTGTGCGCGTTTGGCCTGGCAGAAAGCAAGTCAAGTGAGTCAACGCTGGCTGCATTAAGAGGGGTGGCTACCCGAGCACGTCCTGTGGACATTTCATTCAAGATGTGACGCGCGCACTGTAGGCCAGGGTTCGTACTTTGTCGCGCTTCGTTGTGTAGTTGGGCATGGTCAAGCGGTAGCGCGCTGGGGGCAAGCGCACGTCCTGCTTCTTCGAGTCGACCACGGGCAAAGGAGTGCGATTCTTTTCCTCGGCAAAGTCGATCAAGAACTCACGGGGCGGGGGCGGTACGCCCACCATGTCAGCCGAGCCCTTGATTGCCATTTGCAAGTCACGCCGATTGATGCGCACGGCATCCGCTGTGCTTGTGCGATGCTCAGCCAGGCGCTGGGCCGTAGTGAGATGTGAAGTCATATGCCCTGGAAAGCCATTGCCACATGCCCACCGCAGCCCCCATGTGAGACGTGGCAAGCGATGGCCCGGCACCAAGTATCTGGTTTGCTCGATAATAAACTGAGCACACACTCACGATGCGCAAATTCAAGCAGTTGAGGCACAATGAGAGGGTCGTAGTCGACAATACCCATTGAGGCAAGGAGATCCACGACAAACTGTGCCGAGGCCGGCATTGAGCCTGTACAAAGAAGACAAGAAAAAATGCGGGGGGGGGGGGGGGGTTTAATAAGGGTGGGGGTCTTTAACAAAAATGCT